CTGACACTTCTCTGAGTTCCTGTCTCTGCACATCTGGTGAGCAGAACAGAACTTCTTTGAGGTTTACCCAACCTAACATGCAGGGCTTCTGAGAAGCTGTTCTGAAACACCTGTGACAATTTCTCAAGACAGGATGAGGGTGCAGAGTAAGCAGGGCATGGGCTCCAGTGCCACTTTCAAATGGGAATTCTGCCTCGGCCCCTGTGCTCCCTCCCCTCCTCTCCCTCTGTCTGTAGAAAGCCTAACGAACCGTCCAGGCCCGGTTCCTTCCTGCCCTGACTCAGCCCCGCCCTCCTGGGGTCCCCCAAACATTCCCGACGTTGTTCAAGCCCATCTCTCCACTCCTGGGAGAAGATGCTGGTCCATCTGTCTCCCAACCAGACAGCGAGCCGCGGGCAGGCGAGGAGCGGGCCCCCATCTCACACCCCGAGACCCTCACACCTCAGAGATGCTCAGGGAACGTTACTGAACGGACTCCAGGCTCCAAGAGGGAGCAGAGCCAAGGGATGGGTGTGGAGAGAGGACAAGGGGACACGTGATTTTCTTCCCATCACCACCTGAACGTGAGCAGGTGGGAAGATGCAGGGGGCCCTCTACAATGCTCTTGTCATCCCTGTGGAATCGCAAACACAGCCCACCTGTTATGGGACCTCAGCGAGCTGCCGGCACCTGGGAAGTAAATCCTGTTTGCGTTTCTCTCCACTGTCCCTGCATCTCCAGTGTCCCGTTCTGAGGGTGGTGCGGGCACTGTGGCAGACAATGCCCCCAGACACCCCTACACACAACCCCCCAGACGCGAGCGTCAGGGTCTGGGTTGGGCAGGGCTGTCCCCCTGCGATCCAGGCTCTCCATCTCCTCCTTGGGCAGCTGCTGGGGTGGGGTTCCCGCAGGGTGACCATTGCCTGGTGGCCCTGGACTCAGGGGTGAGTGTCCCCTGGCGTCACCCACAGATCTCAGAGGAGTGACTAGAGGGAGCGGGGACCTCTTTCTGACTGTGCCCCTGTGCAGTGTGCGTCCAGGGCAGTGGTTCCCCTCCATCCCCAGGGAGACGCCTGTGGGGGTTTTCAAGGCCACTGTGAGGGTGGGCTGAGGAGAGCCCCCTCACCAGTCAACCCCTGGGAGGACGGCCCGGGCTCCATGCTACGTGCAGACCGGAGGGCAACTCTGGGTCCCTGTCTCAGGCCAAAGGCCCCTGAATGATGGCGGGGACTTGGGACACCCACGTGGGTGTCACCTGCCCTCTCTGGGTCATTTCTATCAGGATCTCAGTCTCCCTGACTTAATCTTTAGCGGTTGATTGACAGCTGGCACTTCAAATTCATCTTTCCCGCAAACTTACTCCCCTCCTGAGGTCCCCATCTCTGTATCAGCACCAACCGGTTGGCCAGCCAGAAATCTGAGTCATTCCAGACACTTCTGCTTCCCTGAACTCCCCGAAAATTAACCAGCTCGCAAGTCCTCAGGGCCCAACACCTAAAGACCTCTTTCAAATCAATACCCCCTCCCCTCCCCACTGGCCCATCATCTCTCCCTGGTAATGTAGCCTCTCAGCAGCCTCTCAGCCTCCATTCTCACCTCCTAGCACCCAGAGAACTCTCTCTACAGTGGACACCCGACCACACCACTCCCCTGCTAAAATCCTCCTTGCTGTCCTGGCGTGGACCATTGTGCCTTCACGAATGTTCAGTGAACACCTTCTCTGAGCCCAGACCCCTCAGGAGGCCCTTCCCGCTACACGTTGCAAGAAAACGGACTCCCGTGTTATTGGGAAACAGGAGTTGATCTTGCAAGAATTTATTGCCTGTATGCTGAGAGGCGGGAATTAGAAAGGTAGTGAATTTGTCTTTTCTCTTACCTGAAGTCTCCTCAAGTCCTCCTGAACTCTGAAATAGCGTCTGTCTCCTGTATCGGGAGCAGCATCTCCCACAAAGGCTCAGGAGAGATGGCTACAGCAGCTGATGTTTCTAGGATTAGAGCAAAATAGGAAGAATTGTTCCCCCGGGGTCTGAACAGTGCTGGTTGTGAGAAAAGATGTTTAGGGCCAAGGGTCACTCTGTGCCAGTATCAGGCACCGGATCACAAGAGACAGAGGTGCTTATGTGTTCTTTAATAAACTGTGTGTGCGTGTGTGTGTGTGCGTGATGTGTGGGTCCCTCTAAAGCTCTGGGCTCTGACAGGAGCCCTAATGGCCCAGGTCTCATGGTGGTGCTGTCAGCCCAACGCTCAGCCTCTCCTGGAAATACACAGTGTCTGCATCTGTCCCTTGTCCATCCTCTCACAGCCGGAGCACTGCAGCCGCCTCCCCTGCTCTCCCCACCCACACCCCATCCTTCCTCCCCTCCTCCCACCGCAGACAGACAGTGATCTATCTAAAGAACAAGTCTGACTACTCACCCCCCACACACTTACAATCTTTCAATTTCTCCCCAATACCGCACAGTCCACTGCGACTCCTCAGCCTGGCTCCCGCGCCCTGCAGGCTCGGATGCCCGCCAACCTCTCCAGTACCAGCCCTGGTCACCCCGAGGCCATCACATGCTCCACCTCACAGACCTTCCAGGTCCTTCTGCCCCACACTCTGTCTCACCTGCGCGCTTCCCTCCTGAAGAACTCCAGTCACTTATCAAGACTCACACTGGAACAATGCAAATTCAGAACACTCACCGAGCCGCCAAAGAGACAGAAAAGAAGGGAACTTCCAGTTCAGGGCAGATGCGGAGAGAGAGACTCACTTGTGCATCGCCAAAACGGCACAGCATTAAAAATCATCAGTGTTAGTGGCAAAGTTGTCCCCAATTTTTTTGTGGGAGAGCTCCTATCCTTTCTGTGGCTGTTGTATACCCAGGAATGATGTGAGGATAGAGATGGTTTAAATAATGTTTACAGAGAATGTAATTGTATATGCAATGTAGCTAAATGGTATGTTTCTTCCTGCCGTGAAACTGTATTTGGATTTCAGGTAGTAGTTGTTTGTTTTTTTTTTAACTTGAAAATAAAAAATGTTACTGTTTTTATGGAAAAAAAAAAAAAAAAAAAAAAAAAAAAAAAAAAAAAAAAAAAAAAAAAAATTTTAATTTTTTAAAAAAAAAAAAAAAAAAAAAAAATCATCAGTGTTCTTCGATTTGTCCTGTGTGTGTTTTCTCTGCTTGAGGGAGAGTGTTTTGAAATCGACTTAGTTGAGGTGTAACCGGCACACAGTGACATGCACACACTGTGGGTTACAGGTCACTGAGTCCTCACAGGTGTGCATCGTGTGTGTCCTCACCGCCCCCAGGAAACACAGACCATCGCATCTGCTTCAGAAAGCTTTCCCGGGCCTTTTGGCATCAAACCCACCTCCCTGCCATGGGCAACCAGTGATCTGATTTCCATCATTATAGGTTAGTTTGGGTTCCTCCGGAACTTTCGAAGAATGGACTCCTACGGTATGTGCTCTATGAAGTCTGGCTTCTGTTGCTCAGTGCAATGTTTTGGAGTTTTATTCATGTCCTTACAGGTATCCGTAGTTCACTTCTTTTTATTGCTAAGTAATATCTCATTGTATGAAAAGGCCACGATTGGCTTCTCCACTTTCCTGTTGATGGACATGTGCGTTGTTTCCAGTTTTGGGCTATTTTGAATAACGCTCAAGTCTTACACACGACACATGCTTTTCTCTCTCTTGAATGGTGCAGTAATTCTAGAAAGCAATTTGGTCTCTCTCTGTCACTTATCATCAGAGGAAAAAACTCCCAATATAAAATGCCACAGAGGGGGCCGGCCTGGTGGCGCAAGTGGTTAGGTGCGCGCTCCGCTGCAGTGGCCCGGAGTTCACCGGTTCGGATCCCGGATGTGCACCGACGCACCACTTGTCAAGCCATGCTGTGGTGGGGCGTCCCATATAAAGTGGAGGAAGATGGGCGTGGATGTTAGCCCAGGGCCAGTCTTCCTCAGCAAAAAAAAAGAGGAGGATTGGCAGATGTTAGCTCAGGGCCCATCCTCCTCACACAAAAAAAATAAATAAGTAAAATGCTACAGATAATTACGTCTCAAAATGCTGGAAAGCATAAAGCAAAATACGTTCTATCTAAAGGGAGGACATGATTCAGTCAGTTAGAATCTAGGAAGATAATAAAAGGTTATGTATCCATTCAAAAATCACAACTACCAACTACAGCAAAGCTTGAAAAATTATAGAAAATATAAGAACTGAGTAAAAATACAAAATTGTGGGCACACCATAATAATACTTTTTGAAAGTATGTATTCATGTGGATGATGACTTTACCCCTCAGTAGAGATGCGAATAGGCAGTGGAATTACTCACCTACAGTGGGTACTGAGGCCCCACATGCCGGGCGCTGCTCCAGGATGGGGATGTGTCGGTGACCAGAGAGGCAGCTCCCTGCTCGCACAGCAGGGGGTGAAGACACACGGGGATAACTTCCTGTTTGGGACATTTCCTGGAAACAGACATTCGGCGTGGATGCCCCCTTCTTTGGGAAGTGTCCCTGCCCCCGGGACTGGGTCGGGCCCCTCTGGACTCTGCTCTGTCACAGTTGTCACCACACTCAGTTGAACCGAATCCCTGTTGGCCCTCCCCCACCACCTCCCCTTCCCCAATCCCATCCCCTGATTCCCACTGGAGCCTGGGAGCTCTAAGTTGCCACCAACATTTGATCTGTGGCTGGGTCTCTCTCAACTCAGTGGGACAGGAATTGATGAAAACGAGAGCTTGCTGAGAGGCCCACCTCTTGAAATCTACATGTTGACAAATATCCGGCCAGCCCACACCCACCTTGGCCTTGAAAGACAGACCTTCAGGCCCTGGTAACCCTCCAGGTCAGGGACCCACATCAGACCTGGGCTGGAGGCTTTGCCTACAGCTGGCTTTCAGGGAAGGCGGGAAGGTTGTGTGTAAGGCATTTCCCCATCTCCAGATTGAGTCACATCCACCCACAGCTCCTTATAAAGGTCACTGCACCCTCCAGCCACCAGCTCTGTTTGGCTCCCGGTGACCCGTCTCGGCATGGCGCTGCCCTGGGCCCTCGCCGTCTTGAGCCTCCTTCCTCTGCTGGACGCCCGGAGCCCAGTGTGTGCCAACTTCACAGCGGCGCCTCTCACCAATTCCACCCTGGACCGGGTGAGTGCTGGGCCGGTGGGCGGCTGCCTCCCTCTCTGGGCTTCCCTTTCCCCTGCTGGCTTGTGCTCAGCGTCCTCTCCTGACTCTGCCCTTTCTCTCCTGGTCCTGGGGTGAAATTCTGAGCAGCCTCCAGAGGCATTCCTCAGCCTCCAAACTCAGAAGCCTCGTTGCCAGGTCCCTCAGCAGGGACAGTTCTGTCCTGGGCAAGGAGTGGCCGCCCGGGGGTGGGGCCGGGAGACCCCTGATGCTCAGCGTGAGCTCCTGCCCGGCCCCTCCTCACCTGGGCCCCAGTCCCCTGTTTGCAACCTGAAGGAGAGATCTGCAGAGTCATGTCCCAGTGGGGCATCAGGGATCCTGCTCCCAGCCTCCATCACCTGCTCCTGGCTTCTCCCCAGCTCTCTGGCAAGTGGTTCTATATCGCAGGAGCCTCCCGCAACCCTGAGTTCAAGGAGGCAGCTAAGACCTTCCAGGCGGCCTTCTTTTACTTTGCCCTCAACCACACGGAGGACACAATAGAGCTCCGACAGTACTTGACCGTGTGAGACCCCCACACCCTCACCCCCATGCCCCGCTTCTGGCTTCTGCCCCTAGCTGCCAGGAGACCTTGAGCAAGTCCCTCCCCCGTCCTGGCCTTGGCCTTCCCATCCAGGGAATGGGGAGGGCTGACTCCAATCGCCCTTGACTCCTGCCTTGATGATTGTGACAGGTGATGGTCCACTTCTCCTTGACCCACTTGCTGCCTTTCTCCTCCTTCTGTTGGGCTTTAGTGGGAACCACTGTGTCTATGAATCCAGCATCTTGAACGTCCACCGGGAGAATAAGACCATATCCAAACGTGGTGAGGGCCAGCCCTCGGGCACACAGCTGCTGTGTGGAAGGGGGAGGACGTGGGTGGGCCAGCCTACAGTATGGGCGCTGGGGCTAAAGCCCTGGGGGCTTTGGGCACAGAGAATACGGGACAGGCCTGCTTCTTCTATGTCCATGATCCCAGCACCCGCACACTGCGATAATCACTAATACCGGCCACCAGTTTTGAGTTCTTACTTCGTGCCAGGCACTTTGAAACACATTATATGAATTAACCCACTTACTACTCACAAACAACCCAAGGAGGACGTTACAGGATCAGATGAGGAAACAGAAAAACAGAGATGTCAAGTAGTTTCCCTGAGGTCACACAGCTTGCAATGAGAACTTGGATTCAAACCCAAGCCTGGCTCATCCCGCCTCTCTCTCATCCACTCTTCATCCTCTGCGAGCTGAGGGTGGCAGCCTGTGTGTTGTGCAGGCAGTGACCTCACCCATGTCCCCACCAGCACTGCAGAGAGGGCACATAGTAGGAGCACACAAATGCCGATGGACTTGAACCAACAGCAGGTAGCAGCCCAAGGCTCCGCTCGGGCCTCACTTCCCTCATCTGTAAAACAGAGAGAAAGGCTCCTCTGATCCCACACGAGTGACGTGCTCCGTGCAGGCCTGGCAACACAGTAGGAGCTGGGACGCAGGCCCAAATGAGCCCCTGGCCTTCCCTGATCGGCTGTGTGGCCCTGGGCACACAAGTGTCCTCGCCTGTGTGATGGGAACCACGGTGCCATGCCCGTGGTCTCACCAGAGTCTTCCTCCTCCAGAAAAGGACAAGGAACGTGTTGTCAGCATGATCTTGACCACGGACCCCAAGATCTACATGCTGGCCCAAGACCCGGACGATGAGCAGAATGTGGCGCTGTCCCTCTATGGTAGCGACCCCTCCACCTCCCACCCCACCCAGAACTCACCCCTGGACCACCCGCTCCTGGGGCTTGACCCCAGAATCCCAGCCTTCCCCGGCCGCCCACACAGGCCTCCCAGCATCCTCACCCAGCCCCCTTGCTCACTCCTGCAGCTGACAAGCCGGAGGTGACCTCAGAGCAACTGAAGGTGTTGCATGAAGCCATTGAGTGCAAGGGCCTGGATAAGTCGGAAATCATCTACGCTGATGTGAAAAAGGTGAATGCACGGGGGCCGGGCAGTGCCCACCCCAAGGGTGGTCCCACCTTGCGCGGCCCCAGAGGCCCAGAGAGGGAAAGCTGCCAGTCTAGGCTGCACAGCGAGGCAGGATATCCTACTTTGAAGCACCCACCTCACCGCGGGGACAGCTGAGATTCCCAGAGGCCCACGGTGGTAGACGAGAGCCCAGGAGGAGAAGTTACTGGAAAGCAGGGAGGACGCCAGGGCAGGTGGGGGGACTGGAAAGACTGACAGCAGGTGACAGCAGCCCGAGGTGTGGCGGTGGGAACACGGGAAAGAGACACACGGGGCATTAGCATTTACAACTGCCTGCCGCACCCCAGGCTTCTAATCCGCACGAGGGGAGCTGGGGTGTGGTTCAGTGTCCCCCAGGCTGCACAGGGCCAGGAGCAGCGTCCCGATTGTTGCTCTGACTGGGAATTCCCTTGAGAGCATCTCCTGAATCCTTTCCCTAAACCTGCATAAATGAAAGCTTTACTTGGTCCTGTCCTAGGAGACAATATCTGAGATCCCAGAGTGGACGAGCGGGGTACACGTTTGTGGGTGTAGATGACACACTTCCATGATCATTCACATAAAACGTCTCCATCGGTTTGTCCCCTGAGGTCACCTCCTGTGACCACCAGTGGCACAAATCCTCCCTCACCCCCGGGACCCCTGGGAAAGGGCTGAGGAGCACAGGCACGTGGGTGGCTCCCTGGCCTGCTGCCTGCCCCCCATCTCCCGACTGGGGGACCTCGGGGACCACACGGCGGCCCTGAGCTCAGTGGCACCATCTGCAGACGGGGGTGAGGGATCCAGAGGGTCAGTGCGCGGGCTTGGCGGGTCATAAGGGCTCAGGAAACGCCAGCTCTTCTTAGGGGTGTGAGGCCCCTTTTTACAGGAAGACAAGCTGAGGCTCAGAGAGGGAAAGTGACGCGCCCAAGGTCACCCAGCTGGGAAGCGGCAGAGCCGGGCCGGAGCCACAGTCCACAGGCCACTCCATCTTCCCCCCGGGGACCCCCTGTCCTCCCGTCACTATGCTCTCCTCTCCCCGTCGTCCAGGATCAGTGTGGGCCGCTGGAGAAGCAGCACGAGGAGGAAAGGAAGAAGACAAATGAGGAGCCCCAGGAGGACGCGGAACAGGGTTAGGACCGTGGGGACGTTGGGGCACCCTCACGCTGCCCACCCTTGGTACCTCTGTCCTGTGCCTCAGGTGCACCAATAAAGCGTCTGCATTTGGGACGGGCAGTTGTCATTCACTCATTCATTCACTCACTCACTCACGTTGAAACCTGCCATGAGCTGAGCCCTGGCTCACCCCTGGATAAGACCCTGCCCCCGGTTGGAAGAGCCCCGCTGGACCCCCAGCACATGTGCCAGGAGAGACGACCACGTACACGGAGGGCTGTGGGAGCCCAGTACGGGGGTGGTTCCTTCTGTAGCGGGGATGTCTGGGCAGGCTGCCTGGAAGGGCATCTGAACCAGTCCAGAAAGATCAGGAACTTGATACTGCCTGCTGTTCCTGCTGCAGGCCAAGGATCTGAGAGCACACGTTTGAGGGACATTGAGGCAGAGGACCCCAAGAAGGAGTTCAGGTGGAAAAGGGGCAGGGAGGACTCGTGCGTGTGGCACCAAGCACGAGGGACCCCACTGCAGACACCACCCTGGCCGTCTGGGGAGGCGAGCAGGGAGGGGCCGCACTGGAGGCAGGAACCCCAGGGGAGGCTGCTGTGAGCGTCTTGGCAAGAGGCAGGGGCCTGGGCCAGGGCAGGGCCGACACGGGGGCTTGGGGCCTAGGCCCGAGGGGCCGTGTGTCTCCATGACGTGTCCTCAGGGGCCCACCTGACACCCAGAAGGAGGATGAGACACCTAGGGGCCAGGGTGGCCCCTCGACACCAGCCCCCGTGCACGTGTGTTTGGAGCCCTCGAGATGGGGCCACGCGTGAGGCAGGCCCACCTCGTGGCATCAAGAGAACTGAGGAGCACCCGAACAGGAGTCCAGCAGGGAAGGCCAGCCTCCTTCTAGACCTGAGGGCCTCCTGTTTACGGCCACGTGAGGGAACGGGCACCACTCAGGCGGCAGGAGAGCCGGGGCTGATTTTTTCAGGCAGTTCCGCCTGTGAGGGCCTAAGCCATCGAGAGGGACAGGACCCTCACCCCGCCCTGATGCCCGTCCTGGGCTCACACGCCAACGCCCGCCAAAGAGCGGGCTCCACACACCCAAGACTGCAGCATCCTTTCTCGAAGCTGGAGTCACCGCTGTGCCTGGGGCCCCGCCTCAGGCTCCCCCTTCCCATCCTGACGTTCTCAGAACAGCCTCCTGGCCCCCAGAAGGGTGTGGACCAGAGGCTCAGAGCCTGGAAGGAATCTTCCCACCTCAGTGTCAGCTTCAGCAAGAGGCTATTTTCAACCCGACTGAGAAGGCCCAGCTGAAGAATGACACAGAAATGGGTCCTGGTGGGCAGGGAGGGGCAAGTCAGCCGGGAGGTGGGGAAGATGGGAGAAAAAGTCAAGGGAAGAAGAAGGAGGAGTTGGGGAGAAAACAATCAAGGAAATTTAGGAAGAAAAAACAGTAACCAAGGATATGGACATGGAGGCAGACCATCGTGAGTGCGGGCAGAGAGCCCCCCGGAACCTCAGTCTCCTCATCAATACAGTGGGGACACAGTGGGAACCTGGAAGGTGGTGTGTGCACTGTGAGGGGACGCCACGCCGAGTACTCAGCTCCAGCATGGGCATCTGGTTGGCGCTCAGTGAATGGCAGCTGTGGGTGCTGTTTGCTACTAAAAGGAGCACTGGAGAGAGAGTCCAGGCTCATGCTTTTGCAGACGCCAATCTGCCGTGTGTCTCAAACCATCTCTGGCTACAACAAAAGGCACTTGCTGACATGGCCTCTCCTGGGAGCCCCCTCCAGTCGAAAGGTTCACAGTTCTGAGACAGGCAGAGGGGAAAGTGGGAGACACAGACGCCACCAGAGGGAGGCAGGCAGAGTCTGGAAATGTGTCCCCAGCAGGTCCCCTGTGGGAGGCTCGGTGTCCAATCCTTCCCCCCACACTTGACTTTAGAGACACAAGTTGAGGACACACACCACAGACGGGGTGGCTTTGGGAACATATTTGACCTTCTTTTCTTTTTTTTTTTGAGATCAATATTCATTGTTCTTCATTTACCTCATAACGAAAATAGATTTTTAAATGCCTCAAATATACAAATATCATCGCTGCACACACATTCCGGAAAAGCTGAGGTACGCGCTGCTACAGGGTGGAGGCAGGAGATAGCCCGGCCTCATGGCCACAGACCGGGTCCTGGCGGGTAGCCGGCCACTAGCCAGACTCCACAGGGATCCAGGGAGAGAGTGGGGTCTCGGATGAGGGACTGAGGGACGTGGGGGACGGCTTCCCGGGCCCACTGTGGGGGTCTCCATCCCAGCAGGCCCAGGGGAAAGCTCTCCCACCAGGGAGAAGCTGGGTGCACGGCACCCTGGGGGCGACATCCTAAGACGTCCTCATGGTCTCAACGTGCCCCACGGACTCCAGTCACCAGGAGAAAGGGCCCAGCCACGGCCTTCCCAGAGACGGCTCCTCCGGAGTGGCTGTCACAGGCGGTGGACAGGTTTGCTCCAGAGACCCTGGCCCTGTCCCTTCTTCTCTGGCCTCCTATAGAGGGTCCAAGACCAGGAGCACTCCTCAGTTTAAAAAACTCTCTGTCTCTCTGCATATAAAATCCATATTATTAGCTGGAGGTGGACACGTGCAGGACGAGGAGACTCCACAGGCTGCATCTGGACAGAAGGCGGCCTCGGTCCCTGCCCCTCTCCCAGGGGCTGTGCCCTGGGCAGCGACATCTCCTGATGACCAGGCCGACGCCCCCTCTGGTTGGGAACACCGAGACGGAGCAGGCAGACCCTGGTCTGGAGGGGACCTCCTCTGAGGGTCCACAGGGCCTTTAGGAGGGCACAGATGACTCCTGGCCGGCGGACAGCAGCAAGCAGCCTGCCCACTGCCTGCCCTGTCTGTGTGCCCCGAGAGAGGTCAGAAGAGGCAGGAGCCCCGCAGGCCGGGGGCCTGCCGCAGGTCGGCACACAGGGAGCGGCTCATCTCCCGCGTGGTGGCGCGGACACTCTCGGCAGCCTGCACGGCTCGGCTCAGGGCCTTGTGCAGTTCCTCCAGGTCCTCCAAGTCCAGCCGGATGGAGGGCCGGTGGCACCGGGCCTGCTGGGGTGAGGCTGTAGGGGGCCCCTCCGCAGGGGGATGGGCTGAGGTAGGTCCTGGAGACGTGTAGAACCTGAGGAGAGAGGGGACGGCCATCATCAGTCCCGAGGGCGGGTGGAGCCAGGGACATGGGTGTGGAATCTTCACTCAGCTGAGAGGCAGAAACCACTTTGTAGGTGGGAGTCCTCATGGGGGACTGGAGGGTGATGGTGCCTCGAGCCTCTGCTCCCAACCAGCGCCAGCCCTCACGGTGACTCTGGCCCCTCGCTGTCCCAGACACAGGCTTCTTTTGCCCTGCCATTGAAGAGGACTCCCCACGCCTTCTTTCTACAGTGAGGAAAACTGAGGCACAGAATCAGTTGGTGACAGTTGGGACAGAAGACAGGTCTCCCAATTCCAGGGTTTAGGCTTTTTCCCTGCACAACCCTGTCATGTTGAAGCTGCTTTTACTCATTTGTCCTCTCACTCATGACAACATTGAGCAGCATCAGTATTCGCTGATGACAAAGCTGCCAGCAATGAGCACATGTGGCAAGGCCCTATAAACTCCACAAACATCTCACATGGTCCCTGCCACGTGTCTCATGTCCCCCTCATACAGCTGTGTATGATGGAGACTATGACCCATTCACAGATGGGGAAACTGAGGCTCACAAGGAGGTGGGATGACTGAGGCCACAGCACTAAGAAGGGCCAGACAGGACTCCAGGGCAGCTCTGACTCTCCAGCCTGACACACTGCTGCCTCGACTGCTCATCTTTCTGGCCTGACTGATGCTCCATCCAGATCCATGAGCCTCACCATCATTGCTCCTCAAAACTGTCAGGTCGTCAAAGACAAGGGGGATCTAGAAACTGTCACAGCCCAGAGGAACCTAAGGGGACGTGATGACTACCTGTGTGTGGTGTCCTGACGGGATCCTGGACAGAAAAAGGGCTTCTGGAAAAACTAAAGAAACCTGAATAAACTATCGATTTTGGTTAATAATAAAGTATTAATATGGTTCAATAACTGTGCAAATGTCCCATATTAATGTCACATGTTAATAATAGGGGAAACTGTATGTGTGTGTAGGCATATGGGAACTCTCTGTACTATCTGCTCTATTTCTCTATAAATCTAAAACTGTTCTAAATATTAAAGCCTATTAGAGAAAGTGAGAGTGATGTCACCAACATGGAGGAGTGAGCTTTCCCTTTATCTCTCCCCCTTGAACTACAAATACATGGACATTCATTGATTAGCAGAGGATACCCACACAGCACATCAGCCTATCAGATCCGCGTAGCTATACCTCTGCGGGTGGATGGACCAACCCTGGAGAGGTGGTGGAGATAGGGGGGCAGTCTCCAGCCCCCAGGCAGCCTCTCGCGTGCGACTGCTCTCCTGGCTGGAGCACCCACAGCACCACTGCGGCCCCGAGGGTGGGAGCACGCCTCGGTGGGACTTTGGGAACGGGTGACAGCAGCCCTGAGCCCCTGCGTGATTGCTTTCCCATCTGGTGGGAGAGCCCACAGTGCCACCACAGCCCCTAGGGAGTGGCCCGGGCTCAGATCCAGTGGGGAGGCCCTGACCACCAAGCACAGGAGCTAGTGAGACCTAGGAGGTGGTGGCAGCGGATCTGCACGCCCGAGTGAAGGAGGTCCCTGGTGCTGCGAAGGCCCATAGTACAGCTGTGGCCCTGAAACAGAGAGTCTGTCTCAGCGGGACTGTAGGAGCAGGCGGCAGCAGCCCTAAACCCCTATGTGATCACTTTCCCAATGGGTGGGAGACCCCACAGGGAAACTGTGGTCCCAATGAGTGACCCAGGATCAGACCGACACAGCTGACAGGGATTGTCACTGGCTCAGAATATACAGTTCCTTCCCCCCGACACCCAGTGCTGGCAGGTGGACTCTGTGACCAGATAATACCACTATGTGAAGGCAGAAATCCACCCCATCAAGCAGTATGAAGAGGTATATTAATACTCGAGATGAGAAGGAAAAAGACAAACACCCGCAAATCAATCCTGAAGGCACAGAAATCTACAATCGAAATGATGGAGAATTCAAAATAGCTGTCATTAAAAAACTCAACGAGTTACAAGAGAACTCAGAACGACAGTTCAATGAAATCAGGAAAAAATTAATGAACAGAGGGAATTCTTCACAAAAGAGATTGAAATTATAAAGAAAAACCACTCAGAATTGTTGGAGATGAAAAGCATAATGAATGAGATAAAGAAAAATTTGGAGTCCTTAAATAACAGAGCTAATATTATGGAGGATAGAATTAGCAGTTTAGAGGAGGATAGAGATCTAAAAGTGCTTCAGATGGAGGAGGAGAGAGAACTGAGACTAAAAAGAAAAGAAGAAATTCTCTGAGAAATATCCGATTCAATTAGGAAATGCAACATAAGGATTATAGGTATGGCAGAGGGAGAAGGGAGAGAGAAAGGAGCACAGAGATTGTTCAAAGAAATAATAGCTGACAACTTCCCAAACCTCGAGAAGGAGCTGGAAAAATAACTGAAAGAAGCTAATAGAACTCCTAACTATATCAATGTAAAAAGACCTTCTCCAAGGCAAATATTAGTAAAACTGGCAAAAGTCAACAACAAAGAAAAAATATTAAGGGCAGCAAGGCAGAAGAAAATAACCTACAAAGGAACCCCCATCAGGTTTTCTTAACAGAAACCTTACAGGCTAGGACAGAATGGAATGATATATTCAAAATAATGAAAGACAAATTCCTTTGTCCAAGAATATTCTATCCAGCAAAAATATCCTTCAGATATGATGGAGAAATAAAACTTTCCCAAGATAAACAAAGCTGAAGGAGTTCATTGTCATAAGCCCCCCCATGACAAGACATGATCAAGAAGGCCCTCATACCAGAAAATAAAGAAAGGGGTTACAAAGCCTTGAGCAAGGAGATAAACTGGCAGACAAAATCAGAAAACTACAACTCTCTGTCGGAACAGATTAGCAAACAAATATAACATTAAAGATAAAGGGGAGGAAAACATCAAGAATAAATATAATCAGTTCATTTTAACAACAAACTCACAACACAAAATGGAATTAAGTTGTGACAACAATAACTTGGAATGGGAAGCGGAAAGGGATGGAACTTGCTTAGGCTAAAACGATAAGAGGCTCTCAGAAATGGACTATCTCATCTATGAGATCTTTTATACAAACCTCATGGTAACCACTAAAAAAAATCACAACAGAGACACAAATGATAAATAAAGAGAAAACTGAGAAAACCATCATAGAGAGTCACCAAACTGAATCGGCAGTCCAAAATACACAGGACAAGAAACAGGGAAATACAGAACAACTGGAAAAGTAGTGACAAAATGGCATCATGAAGCCCCTATATATCAATAATCACTCTAAATGTAAATTGATTGAATTCTCCAATCAAAAGACTGGAAAGAGTGGCTGGATGGATTAAGAAACGAGACCCAACAATATGATGTCTCTAGGAAACACATCTCAGCTCTAAAGAGAAACACAGGCTCAGAGTGAAGGGATGGAAGACGATACTCCAAGCTAATGACAAACAAAAGAAAGCAGGTGTTGCCATACTTATATCAGACTAGGTAGACTTCAAGATAAAAAGACAATGAGAGACAAAGAGGGGCAGCGTATAATGATAAAAAGGACACTCCACCTAGAAGACATTTATATGCACCCAAGACAGGAGCACCAAAGTACATAAAGCAACTATTAATGGACCTAAAAGGAGATAGTGACAGCAACACAATAATAGTAAGGGACCTTAACACCGCACTTACCTCAATGGGTAGATCATCCAGACAGAAAGTCAACAAGGAAACACTGGAATTAAATGAAAAACTAGACCAGATGGACTTAATATAGAACACTCCATCCAAAATCAGCAGAAAACACATTCTTCTCAAGTGCACATGGAACATTCTCAAGGATACATAGGGAAACAAAGCAAGCCTCCATAAATTTAAGGATATTGAAATCATCACAAGCATCTTTTCCAACCATAATGGTATGAAACTAGAATTCAATTACAAGGAAAAAGCTGGGAAAGTGAAAAAGATGTGGAGACTAAACAACATGTTAGTGAACAACCAACAGATCATCGAACAAATTAAATTAGAAATCAAAAATTGGAGACAGGTGCTGGCCTGGTGGCACAAGCAGTTAAGTGTGCCCGCTCTGCTATGGTGGCCTGGGGTTCGCCAGTTCGGATCCCAGGCAGGCACTGATGTACTGCTTGGCAAGCCATGCTGTGGCGGCGTCCCATATAAAGTGGAGGAAGATGGGCACAGATGTTAGCCCAGGGCCAGTCTTCCTCAGCAAAAAAAGAGGAGGATTGGCAGATGTTAGCACAGGGCTAAACTTCCTCACCAAAAAAAAATATCTGGAGACAAATGAAAAAGAAAATACACCATACCACCTTATATGAGATGCACAAAAGCAGTCCTAAGAGGGAAATACATAGCAATACAGATACACCTTAACAAGAAAAATCTCAAATAGGCAACCTTAAAGTATACGTAACAGGGGACCGGCACCGTGGCTTAGTGGTTAAGTGCACCGCTCCGCTACTGGCGGCCCAGTTTAGATCCCGGGCGCGCACCCACGCACTGCTTGCCCGGCCATGCTGAGGCCACGTCCCACATACAGCAACTAGAAGGATGTGCAGCTATGACATACAAATATCTACTGGGGCTTTGGGGAAAAAAAAAAAGGAGGAGGATTGGCAATAGATGTTAGCTCAGAGTCGGTCTTCCTCAGCAAAAAGAGGAGGATTAGCATGGATGTTAGCTCAGGGCTGATCTTCCTCACAAAAATAAATAAATAAATAAATAAAGTATACGTAACAGACCTAGAAAAAGACGAACAAAGCTAAAAAGTCAGCAGAAGGAGAAAAATAATAAAAATTAGAGCAGAAATAAATGTAATTCAAACAAAAACAAAAAACAAAAAAACAAAACATAACAGGAGAAAGGATCAGTGAAACTAAGAGCTTGCTGTTTGAGAAGATAAACAAAAGCGACAAACTCTTAGCCAGACTCACTAAGAAAAAAACAGAGAAGTCTCAAATAAATAAAATTAGGAATAAAAGAGGAAAAATTACAACACACACCACAGACATACACAAAGGATCATAAGAGAATACTATGAAAAACTATATGCCAACCAATTGGATAATCTAGAAGACATGGATTAATTCTTAGACTCACACACACTCCAAAAATTGAATCAAAAAGAACTAGAGAATCTGAAAAGACCAATCAAAAGTAAAGAGATTGAAACAGTAATCAAAAACCTACAAAAAAATAAAAGTCCAGGACCAGATGGCTTCTCTGGAGAATTTACCAAACATTCAAAGAAGATTTAATACCTATCCTTCTCCAATTGTTCCAAAAAACTGAAGAACATGGAATACTTCTGAATACATTTTACGAGGCCAACATCACCTTGATCCCAAAACCAGACAAGGACAACACAGAGAAGCAAAGTTACAGGCCAATATCGCTCATGAACATTGATGCAAAAATCCTCAAAAAATATTGCCTAACCGAATACAGTAATACATCAAAAGGATCATACACCACGATCAACTGCGATTTATACCAGAGACGCAGGGATGGTTCAACATCCACAAATCAATCAATGTGATAGACCACATTAACAAAATGAGGAATGAAAACCACATCATCTTCTCAAGGGATGCAGAGAAAACAACTGACAAGACCTAACATCCGTTCATCATAAAACTCTCAATAAAATGGATATAGAAGGAAAGCACCTCAACATAATAAAGGCCATATATGACAAACCCACAGCCAACATCATATTCAACCTGGAAAAACTGAAAGCCATCCCTCCGAAAACAGAGGTAGACAAGCGTGCCCACTCGCACCACTCTTATTTAACATAGTACTGGAGGTTTTTGCCAGAGCAATTAGGCAAGAAAAAGAAATAAAAGGTATCCAAACTGGCAAGGAATAAGTGAAACTCTCACTGTTTGCAGATGACATGATCTTATATATAGAAAACCCTAAAGAATCCGTTGGAAAACTATTAGAAATAATCAACAACTACAGCGAAGATGCAGGGTACAAAATCAACTTACAAAAATCAGTTGTGTTTCTATACACCAACAATGAACTAACAGAAAGAGAACTCAAGATTACAATCCCACTTACAATTACAACAGGAGAATCAAAGATCTAGGAATAAATTTAATCAAAGAGGTGAAAGACCTATACAATGAAAACTGTAAGACAGTATTGAAAGAAATCGATGAGGACATAAAGAAATGGAAAGATATCTCATGCACGTGGATTGGAAGAATAAAGTTTACATAGTTAAAATGTCCATATTACCTAAAGCAATCTACAGATTCAATGCAATCCCAATCAGAATCCCAACAACATTCTTCATGGAAATAGAACAAAGAATCTTAAAATTCACATGGGGCCACAAAGGACCCTGAATAGCTAAAGCAATGCTAAGAAAAAAGAAGAAAACTGAAGGCATCATCACGATCTCTGACTTCAAAATATACTACAAAGCTATAGTAATCAAAACAGCGTGGTACTGGCACAAAAACAGACACACAAATCAATGGAACAGAAATGAAAGCCCAGAAATAAAACCAGACATCTACGGACAGGTAAACTTCGACAAAGGGGCTAAGAACCTACAATGGAGAAAGGAAAGTCTTCACTAAATGGTGTTGGGAAAACTGGACAGCCACATGCAAAAGACAGAAAGTAGACCATGATCTTTCCCCATACACAGATTAATGCAAAATGAGTTAAAGACTTGAAGGTAAGACGTGAAAACATAAAACTCCCAGAAGAAAATATAGGCAGTACACTCTTTGACATCGGTCTTAGAAGGATCGTTTCAAATACCATGTCTACTCGGGCAAGGGAAACAAAAGAAAAAATACACAAACGGGACTTCATCAGACGAAAGAGCTTCTGCAAGGCAAAGGAAACCAGGAACAAAACGAAAAGACAACCCTCCAACTGGGACAAAATATTTGCAAATCACAGATACGACAAGAGGTTAATTTCCAAAATATCTAAAAACACATACAACTCAACAACAAAAGAACAAACAACATGATCAAAAAATCGGCAGAGGATATGAATAGACATTTGTCAACGAAGATATACAGATGGCCAACAGGCACATGAGAAGATGTTCAACATCACTAATCATCAGGGAAACGCACATCAAAACTACAATGAGATATCACCTTACACCCATTAGAATGGCTATAATCACCGAGACAAAAAATAACAGATGTTGGAGAGGACGTGGAGAGAAGGGAACCCTCATACACTGCTGGTGGGAATGTAAACTGGTGCAGCCTCTATGGAAAACAGTACGGAGATTTCTCAAAAATTAAAAATCGAAATAGCTATGACACAGCTGTCCCACTACTGGGTATTTATCCAAAGAGTGTGAAAACAGCAATTCAAAGAGACTTATGTACCCCCATGTTCATTGCAGCATTATTCACAATAGCCAAGACATGGAAGCAACCCAAGTGCCCATCGACTGATGAATAGGTAAAGAATACATGATGTATATATACAATGGAATATTATTCAGCCATAAAAAAAGGAGAAAATTGTCCATTTGCAACAACGGATGCATCGTTGCAATGGTTGGAACTTGAGGGTATTATATTAAGTGAAATAAGCCAGATAGAGAAAGACAAAGGCTGCATGATTTCACTCATATGTGGAAGATAAACAAACACATGGATAAAAAGAACAGATTAGTAGTTACCAGAGGGGGGGGGGTTGGAGAGTGGGCATAAGTGTTAAAGGAGCACATCTGTATGGTGACTGATAAATGATAATGTACAACTGAAATTTCACAGTTATACACTATCATGACCTATATAAAACAAAAAGTGAGTGCACATTACTTGCTCACTGAGAGGACCCAGGAGGAAATGGAAGATGGAGGGTTCTGGATACCCCTGAGGCTGTAAGTTCCTAGAGGGCAGGGCCCTCTGCCAGGTTCCCTCACTGCTGGATCCCCAGGGCCCGGCACTCTCCCTGGTACACAGGGCGCATTCAGGGTTTGTTGAGAGACTACATGAGTGTCGGGCTTGTTCTGCACATGATACACAGACAGAGAGGCTGGGAGGGTCGGAAGAGAAGGTGCTTACACAGTGGCTGATGGATAAGGCACGACGGGAACCGAGGAGACATAGGCGAAGGTGGGAAGGGCTGGTGCAGAGGACGGGGCGGCCAGATACCACAGTCCGGGGGGTGGCCGGGGCGGCGATCCCACCTGCTGGCTTCTTTGCTTGGGGCTGGAAGTGGCAGGTGCGCGTCTCCTCATGGAGGCCTTTTCTGCCCCTGTCGGGGAGGGACACCACAGAGAGACCCAGTCTGACCCCCTGGGAGGATCTAGCAGAGAACAGAGGGCCCACCCAGCCCTGCTCCACAGACTGGACCCTGGGCTGCCGCACTGGGGGTGCCTTGATCTGGGAAAGTAACCTGCAGCCCAGTTTGCTCCGTCCCAGAGTGGGAGAGCAGCTGCCCTGGGTAATCCCACCCAGGGCCCTGCACCCCCATCCAGGAGAGATGGGGGCTGGCTGGGAGAGCAGATTGAGCCTGTGTCCTACCAGAGCTGGCTGAGTCCGGGCCATCCCCCTCTGGGGGGGACCCAACTCGACCACACAGCACACATCGCAGGGCTTCAGTGGGAGACGGTCCCGGTGGCTCCCTGGTGGTGGCGCCGCCTGGAAGAGGAGGAAGAGCCGTCAGGAGGGGATTCTATCTGAACCCCCAGGCCTGGAGCCCCCAGACAGGCCTCCCGCAGCATGGGGCTGCCCTCAGGAACCTCTGCCAAGGGGATGAGCTGCCTTCACCTGGCGATAACTGTATCCATGGCAACCGTGACAGTGAGTCAGCCTTAAAGGACCAGGCCCTCTGCTCAGGGCCTTCGTGCATCATTTTATCAGATCCAACAAGCCACTGGGCTGGCTATTCTCATCTCTCCCCTATTTTACAGATGGGGAAACTGAGGCTCCAAGAGGTGGATTAACTGGCCAAGGTAAAATGGGGGTGTGATGGGAGTTGCAGCCATCACCTCCAGGAAGCCCTCCCACACCCCAGGCTGAGTTCCGCGCTCCCCAGCCCCACCCTGTGCTCCCCCATCCCAGCTTAGATATGAAGCCTGAGGCTCAGAGAAGTTAAGGAACTTGTCTAGGGTCCCACAGCAAGTCAGTGGCAGCACGGGGACTAGAACCCGGTGCCCACATTCTCAGGTCACTGGTCTCCCCACTCCTCTTCCTGTAGGGTGGGGAAATGATGCAGAGTGGAGGGAGGATGGAGGGAGAGAAGACATAGTCACCGCTGCCCTCCCCCTGCTGCCTGGCACTCCCTATCAGGACCCTCAGGGTCTTCTTAAACCATGACCGTGGTTTCTCCACACAAAGTCAATGAGGGCGGGTTCAGTCAGCAGCCCCTGGAGCAGTAGGTGTGAGGGCGGGACACCCTGGAGGGCCGAGATGCCCAGAACAACCCCGTCCCCTTGTCTGTGCCCTGACCCCCCACACGGAGCTCGGGTCGGGCCCACGGCGGCTCAGCTGCCCCCTCTCCGAGAGAAGAAGCTCCCACCCCGCTGTCCTGGCCGCCTGTCCAGGGACCAGCCTTCACCTGCGTCCTGGGTCCTGACGGGCTGGCAGTGGGGACAGGAGGCTGTGCCACTGCCTCTGGGGACAGTCTTGGGGGTGAGAACATGGTACTCCTGGCCTGGGGAAGAAACCAGAACAGTCAGCGTGGGCTCCCTGGATGGATGTGGATCTGGGAGCTGTGAGTGTGATAGTCTCTCTCCTCCTCCTCCAGAGGGTGTCACAGGCTCTCTCTTTTATCTCCTGTGGGTGCGCACACATGATGTATGTGCGTAATATGTATGTATGTATAAGTGTGTAAGCACCTATACACACGTACGTAAAACATCTGTCCATTTATTGAAAGCTCTCTCAGGCTCCTGTGTCATCTCAGATCCTACTTAGGTGCCAGCTGCCTGGTTCCTGACACACAGATGCTATCAACAAACCCAGGCCGGGTCAGGATGGGAGCAGCCCAGGAGCACAGGATCAGCAATGACAGAGTGAAGCTCCTCCCCAGAGCCTGACCTGCGGGCTGGGATTGGAAGGGCTCGGGCCTGGGGTCAGCGGTGTTTCCTCCCTGTGCTCCCAGGGGCTGTGGAATGGGGATGGTCATGGTGCGGGGGTCACAGGCTTGTTGGGAGGACTGGACGGGGCCGCGTCCATGAGGCCTCTGCCCAGCCTGGCAGGTGTGAACGCTCGACGTGATTAGACCGTTGACAGACTCTTGGGTCCTCCCCCAGCCCCGCCGCCCCCCGCCTCGTCCATCCCTGGGTCTCAGACGAGACCTTCAGAGTCGCCAGATTGCTGGTTCTCTTTCCCTCCTGGGCCGTGGGGGGGTCCCACTCTGTGTGTGCACTGGGCCCCTCTTGCTTCCACCTCCTCGGCCTCTGTCGGCTCCACTGGGGCAGAGACGTGTCTCCTGTGGCCCCTTGTCCCCAGCCCCCAGCCCTATGGCTCTGAGGTTAACCCCCCACCCCCAGTGGGGTGTGGGGGGGAGCCGCGTCTGTAATTCACTTACTTACATGAAAACCTACACAGTTGCTGTCACTGCTTATGTGCTACTGTCTCCTCTGCTCTGCCCTCAGATTCATGAGAGGAGGGGCCGTATCCATATGTGTTTTAATGTTAAGCATTTTGAAATCCTACTGTGCGTCATCTGCAACGTGACTACGTGCAGGGTACCTGGTTCATGACCCAGGGCCTCTGTGGACTCAGACCTGAAGGTGGGCCAGGAGGAAACGATGCCGAGTTCCCCCTGCAGACCAGGTCCTGCCAGAGCAGGCGCTTTGTCAACCTGTTTGTGATTGACAGCCGAATGGGCTTCCCCAGAGCCAAGCATGGGTCCTGGGGAAGGGGAGGCATCGGAAACTGCTGAATGAATGCATGAATGGATGAATGAATGAACAAGGCACCGAGGTCCCCAGAGGCAATGCTCCCTGATATTTTTCGTATCACAGAACACAGAGAAAATGGTAGTATTTGACTGGCTGAATGGAAAAGGCTTCTCAGGACAGAGGAGACCACCCCGGGGACTGTGCCACCGCCGCCTTCCCCTCCCCACCTGTGTATTGGCCCCGGAAGGTGACGCGGTCTGGCTGTCTGGGGTTGCCCCCTCCTCTCACTCCGGCCCGAGCTGTCTGTGGGCTGTCCTTGGGGCTCCTGCTCTTCTCAGAGAACAGCCGGGGGGAGGTGGGCTCAGATTCCGAACCTGGGGTGGAAAGAGAGGAGCATCAGAGGGGCGGGGCTGGAGGTCCCCCAGCTTGGGCCTGGGCGTGTCTAATCAGACTGGCCCTCAGTGACCACAGAGGACACGTTCACCACGTTCACACCCCGACCTTGTCCTGAGCGCCAGTCTGGACACAGGGCGGCGCCGTCCAGGCACCCTCATGCCGACCCCAGGAGGGGTGCTGTTATTACCGCACTGCTAGCTGTCCCTCAACTGCACAGAGCAGGGAAGCAACCCGGCCAGGTCACAGGGCCCGGAAGGAGGGCTCTGGGGCTGGACCCCGGGCCCCGAGTCCAGAGCGGTGTCCTGCAGGCGTGTCCTCTGTGCTCTCAGGCTTGGGGTCCCTAACTGCAGAGCGTGGACAGCAGGACCCATCGTGCAGAGGAGATTCAGCAGGACGAGGTACACGCAAAGTCCTCACAGACACTGACTGTTATACAGAGCACCACGACTGCCTCCAGCAGACCCGGGAGCCTTCTCCAACTTTCCTCCAAGGCTGCTGTCGTGGTCCCGACCACTGAGCCAACGTGCCCAAACTGTGGCCTCCAGAAAGCAGCCCTGGCAGGTGATCACTTACTCAGGAACAGTCGGGGCACCTCCCGAGGCACCGAGGAGGACCTGGCCCGCCGCCGTCTTGTAGGGACAGCTTGCTCGGCACCTCCAGGCTCAGCGGACAATCTCTCTGTGGATTTGCTAGCAAATGGGAGAGAGAGAGGATGTCACTGGATGAGGTTTTATGCAGACTTTAAAGATGAGCAGCGAGAAGGCCCCCCAGAGAAATGCTTATACCACAATGGAAGGTGGAGAATACAGAATCTACACCAAAGACCCCAGAGTCGTAATCACAGAAAATGGCTCTGAGCTTCTCTGACCCTCAGTTTCCTCATCTGTCAAACTTACTGTTATATATTCTTTTATGCATCAAATATTACACACCAAAAATATGTCAGAGAGAATGAATGATGGAATGAATGAGTGAGAGAGGGGTGTGGCTGTGCTTGTACCCACATGAGAGAGCCCCAGAGGCCAGTCAAGTCTACCTTCGTCTGCTGCCAGCAGGGCACAGGGGAGGGAGTTTTGGGGTCACACACCTGCCATAGTGGGAGCTCCAGGGGGCAGAGGACTCTGCTGGCCGGTCCGGGGCCCGGGCGGGGCGGTCGGACGCAGACGCTGGGCACGTCGGGTTGCCCTGAGACGGCTGGTGCAGGCTGTCCTCCAGCCGCAGACGGAGCCTGGACACCTCCTCCTGCAGCTCCCGGATGGCCTGGCTGGGGCGGGGGTGGAGACAGCGACACAGAAGAGACACAAGGTGAACACAGCTGCCCCGGAGTGCAGCCTGGATGATCCGTCATTGTCCCTTTTAGAGGACACGGACCATATCTGCTGTCCATTGGTTCTAGAACCTCCTTGTGTGTCCACATTCCTTGCCTTATCTCCTGACCCCTCTCTGAGCTCATGTCCCTGCACACTGGGGGAGCAGAGCAGAACTTTCTTTGAGGTTTACCCAACCTAACACGCAGGGCCTCTGAGAAGCTGTTCTGAAACACCTGTGACAATTTCTCAAGACAGGATGAGGGTGCAGAGTAAGCAGGGCAGGGGCTCCAGTTCCACTTTCAAATGGGAATTCTGCCTCGGCCCCTGGGCTCCCTCCCCTCCTCCCGCTCTGTCTGTGGAAATCCTAGCGAACCCTCCAGGCCCGGTTCCTTCCTGCCCTGACTCAGCCCCGCCCTCCTGGGGTCCCCCAAACATTCCCAACGTTGTTCAAGCCCATCTCTCCACTCCTGGGAGAAGATACTGGTCCATCTGTCTCCCAACCAGACAGTGAGCCACGGGCAGGCGAGGAGCAGGCCCCCATCTCACACCCCGAGACCCTCACACCTCAGAGATGCTCAGGGAACGTTACTGAACGGACTCCAGGCTCCAAGAGGGAGCAGAGCCAAGGGCTGTCCATCGAGAGAGGACGAGATGACACAGGGTTCTTCCCATCACCACCTGAACGTGAGCAGGAGGGAAGATGCAGGGGGTCCTCTGCAAGACTGCTGTCATCCCCGTGGACCCCAAACACAGCCCACCTGTTATGGGACCTCAGTGAGCTGCCTGCATCTGGTGAGTAAATGCTGTTTGCGTTTCTCTCCACTGTCCCTGCATCTCCAGAGTCCTGTTCTGCGGGTGGTGCGGGCACTGTGGCAGACAATGCCCCCAGACACCCCTACACACAACCCCCCACACATGAGCGTCAGGGTCTGGGTTGGGCAGGGCTGTCCCCCTGCGATCCAGGCTCTCCATCTCCTCCTTGGGCAGTTGCTGGGGCGGGGCCCCCTCAGGGTGACTATTGCCTGGTGGCCCTCGACTCAGGGGTGAGTGTCCCCTGGCGTCACCTCCAGCTCTCAGACGAGTGACTAGAGGGAGCGGAGATCTCTCTCCGGCTGTGCCCCCGTGCAGTGTGCGTCCAGGGCAGTGGTTCCCCTCCATCCCCAGGGAGACGCCTGTGGGGGTTTCAAGGCCACTGTGAGGTGGGCTGAGGAGAGCCCCCTCACCAGGCAACCCCTGGGAAGAGGGCCCGGGCTCCGTGCTGCGTGCAGACCGGAGGGCAACTCTGGGTCCCTGTCTCAGGCCAAAGGCTGCTGAATGATGGCAGGGACTTGGGACACCCACGTGGGTGTCACCTGCCCTCTCTGGGTCATTTCTATCAGGATCTCAGTCTTCCTGACTTAATCTTTAGCGGTTGATTGACAGCTGGCACTTCAAATTCATCTTTCCCGCAAACTTACTCCCCTCCTGAGGTCCCCATCTCTGTATCAGCACCAACCTGTTGGCCAGCCAGAAATCTGAGTCATTCCAGACATTTCTCTTCCCTGAACACCCTGAAAGTTAACCAGCTCCCAAGTCGTGGGGGTCCAACACCTAAACATCTCTTCTTAGATGCATCCCCCACCCCCGACTGGCCCCATCATCTTTCCCGGGTGAGGCAGCCTCTCAGCAGCCTCTTGGCGTCTGTTCTCACCTCCTAGTGGGCAGAGAACTCTCTCTAGTGTAAACCCGGCCAGACCACTCCCCTGCTAAAATCCCCTTGCTCTCCTTGAATAGATCTGTTGCCTTCATGAATATGCAGTGAGCACCTTCTTGAGTCAAGCCACCATCCAAACCTCTAACCATGGTGTTGGAGGCCCTCCAAGATCTTCCCCAGGTCCCGCCATCTTCCTCTCTGCCTTTATTGCTCAACACCCACCACCTCACACTAGAGGATCCGGCTAGAATGAACGTTCGGCTCCTCAAAGGTGATGGGCACTCACTCACCTCTAGGCCTCTGCACATGCTGTTCCCTCTGCTGGGGATACTCTTCCATCTCTCTTCCTTCTGGTCTCTGCTGAGATACTACTTCCTCCAGGAAGCCCTCCCTGAAGGCTCTGCCTGGGCTAGATGCCCCCTCTCTGTGCTCCCACAGTCCTTCGAGTTTCTCCCACCACTGTATTTAGAGTGGGGGTGTGACCGCCTGTTGCTTTGTCCATCCTTCAAGATGGTGAGCCTTACGAGGCCAAGGACTGTCTTGTCCACTATTGTATTCCCACCGCCTGCTGTGTCATAGGCAGATAAGCCTCTAATTCCCAGGCTGAGGTCAGAGGAGACTGCAGGAGTATACCTACTAAACTCAGACCTGGAAGCTAAGTGCCGGCAGCTGGACCCAACTTTGCACACGGGTAACAGGACAGCCCCACGATCGCACAGGCCCAGGAGGCCTCGGAGTGACGACTCCAAGGCAGTCTTTCCAGTGCATTCTGGGACAGACACCCAATCCAGCAATGGCACATGATGGATGATTGGCCAAAAGCAACTCAGAGGAGAGGTAAGAGGCCTGACCAACCCATTTTCCCATTTCTGTTCAACCAGGCAAGGAGCAACTCTCTTAGTAGAAAAATTGTGCTGGGATTAAAAAGAAGAGAATTGAGAAACAGTCTCTTTTCAGTTCATACACTGAATGCATAAGCCGCAGAAAACATGTCCCTGGGAAGCGCAGATCTGTCTAGAAGGGAGATGTTGGGGGGCCAGGGAAAGAGGTCTCAGCAACAGGAAGGCGAACCTCTGCGTCATTCCCCACTGGCTGGAGAAGTGTCCTCTAAGTCTAGATCACTGAGGTCCCATGGAACAGCCCTGAGCTGGGAGGTGGGATAGCCCGGTCTGGCCCCAGCACAGCCACCACTGGCTGGACGTGAGAGCCGGGCGAGCCCCTGCTTCCCCCGGCATCGCTCTCCCGGCTCTGTGATGAGCTCAAATCCGTGGTACCCATGTCTCCAACTTACTCTCGCCCTGTCCTGGTGAGGAGGAGGGTGGAGGTGGTCTCTGTTGGTCCACGGGGCAGAACGGCAGCCGCAGGGGCCGGGGTAGGGGCTGGGCTGATGGTCGTGCTTGGGGGCAGTTGTTCAGAAACCCGCTTTCGCCCTCTCACCTCCGAACCCGGGACCGCTAGGGAGGCAGAAAGAGACGGAAGTGAGTTTACGCAGAGAGGACCCTGGAAGCGTGAACATTTGTGGGTGGAAGGGTGGCAGGCAAGAGGCGGTGCCCGGCTGAGGTCACAAATGAAGTTCCTCATGAGGTCAATGACCCACGGACCTCCAAACCAGAAGATGTGGTTTTTGCTGGGGGCTTGGGGTGCAAAGCTGGCCTACAGAGCTGCTTCTAATGAGAGCTCCCCCTACAGTCCACCATGTCTGCATCAGATCCAAGTCTTCAGGATCTTCCCCTGCAAAGAGCTCATGGTTCCTTCACGTGGGCCCCCCAGACTCTGTCAGGAATCACCATGTCCTTCTGGGACCGGCTTGGCAGCCTTTACCTCCCTCTGAAATTACAGACATACCCTCGTCTGTGTGCGTGTTTCTGGGGACAGTGTTTGAAACTTGAGCCTCTCAAAAGGATGGGCGACTGCAGGTCAAAACCACTAATCTAGCCTATGCATTAAAAACAATGAGCAATAGATAAAGGAACAAACTATTGATACATGGAACAATCCAGATGAATCTCCAGAGAATTATGCTGAGTGAAAAAGCCAATCCCAAAAGGTCATATATTATAAGATTCCATTTATATGACGTTCTTGAAATGACAAAATTATAGAAATGGAGAGCAGATTAGTGGTACCAGGAGCTAAGGTGGGGGTGGGACAGGAGGGAAGTGGGCGTGTCCATAAAAGGGCACCATGAGGGGTCCTGTGGTGGTGGCCTGTTGTGTATCTTGACCGAACCCATGTCAACATCTGGTGGTGACATCACATGGTAGTTTTGCAAGATGTTACCAGTGGGGGGAACTGGGTGAGGGGCCCACGGGATCTCTGTGGATTATTTCGAAACTACAACTGCATGTGAATCGATAATTAATTAAACTTTTAAAAATATTTTAAATGTTGAACCTTCAAAAGAGGCAAAGCGAATCTGAGGCCTCAGAAGTCAGAACAGTGGCCACCTTGGGGAGGGGAGGGAGAGGCTGGAAGGGGTGTGGGGTGGCGTCTGGGGTTCTGATCATGTTGAGTTTTTTGGTGTGTGTCCACTTTGCGAAAATTCATCAATTTATGTTCTTTCCTGTAAATTTGTTTTATTTCTTTTTATGGAAATAAATGCACTTTCAAAGGTAAAACCTAAATCATAGATTTTATAGACATGGAAAGCGTTCACAACACAATGTTTAGTGAAAAAAAGGAGATAATCAAACATTCACGTATAATATGGTCCCATTTCCGTTTTTTTTTTTTTTTTTTTTAAAGATTATTTTTTTTTTATTTTTTGCCCCCAAAGCCCCACTAGATAGTTGTATGTCATAGCTGCACACCCTTCTAGTTGCTGTATGTGGGACTCGGCCTCAGGATGGACAGAGAAGTGGTGCCTCGATGCGCACCCGGGATCCGAACCCGGGCCGCCAGCATGGCAGCGCGCGCACTTAACCACCAAGCCACAGGGCCGGCCCTTCCGTTTTAAGTGCTGTCAATAAACACATACACACTGGCATAGAGAACAGACCGCGGGTTCCACACTGAAACGTTAGCAGTGATGGTTTCCAGCGTATCTCTTTCTTTCATCCCCTTTTGTCTACCCTGTCTGTAATTTCAAATTTTCCTACGATGAACCTGTATGATATTTTGTGTCCTAAAGGGTAATGCAAGCTTTTTGTTGGTTTGATTTTTTGATCCATGCAATCCGGCCACCCCCGGGGTTCTGGCCACCCCAGCTGCACCTACTCACCCATCTCGGCGGCCCGCGCCCACTCCAGGCGGAAGCTGGGTGCCCTCTGCCGGAGACGACTGTCCTGGCCGGACGGGCGCCTCTGGGCTTGGCTCCCGGGTGTGCCGGACTCAGCGGCTCTTCTGGGGACCGGAGGACCCCTGGTCTGCGGGTGGGAGGCAGCATCCCGGGGCACAGACGCAGTGAAGGGCTGGGCTAATGGCCCTGGGGCGCTGGGGGACCAGGGAGGGAGAGACACGTTGAGGTCACCCCAAGAGAGGCCACGGCCTCTGAGCCCCTCCACACGCTACACCAATGAGCTCCCGACCTTTGGGATTTGGCACCCTGGCAGCAGGATGTTTCTGAGGGTGCACCCCCAGTATACATGCATTTCTTTATAAACTGCACAGCTCTACTCCCGCCCACCCACACGTGCAAAATTATGGAGCTCAATTATGTTTGTAGAAAACAGTCAGAGAAATAGAATTTCTAATCCTTTCTTCCTGTGCAGACCTGGGTTGCCAGGAGGGCCTCCTGAGGGGCCCGCACCCGGGCTTGGAGGCCGACACTCTACAGGGTGGCTCTATCACTTCACTCTTCATCCGCGTCCCCTCCTTTCTCTTTGGGTTCCAGCCCCAGTCTCCTCCAGGTAGCCACCCTGATTGCCCTTTACCCTTGTATCTGCTCACCTCACACCACCTCCCTATAGATCTTACTCATTCCCCATTCGCTCATTCATTTGCTCAACGAATATTTATTTCCCAGTCTGTTGCTAATTGGCTGAGTGACGCTGGGCAAGTCACTCTCCCTCTCTGAACCTCAGGTCCCCTCTATCAATAATATGGAGGCAAGGAACCATCGTTGGGGGATGAAATGAGGGTTTTGAGAATGCCCAGACCACCCACCCCCTGTCCTGGGCTCACAGGTACTTCAAACCCAGACTATCCCAGGGGGTGACACTGATGGGACAATGGTCAGGGTCCCCAGAATACCTGATGTGGGAGAGCCGGTGTTCCGGGGTCTGGGCGAGGGGTGACACTCTGCTGGTTTCTGAGCCCATGAAGCCACTGTCTGTCTCCGGGGATGCCATCCAGGGCTCCTGAAAGAGGCAGTGTCCCTTTAAGTCTGAGGAATGTGCCTGAGGCACACTGCGAAGCCTTCCAGATTCTGGCCTGGGCCTCACATTCCAGAGGCTCACAGGCGAGGAGGCTGGCCCAGCTCCCAACATCCGGGCCCAGAGCGGGAGGGTCCTCCGGGGCTCAGGCCCCAGCACGAGCACCGGGCCCACAGCAGGGACTCCACGCCTGAGAGGACCCTGTGGAAGTCTCGCTTCCCAAGGAGTGGGAGCCAGGGCCCTGGGGAGGGATCCTGAAGTAGGTTTCCTGAGCGGAGGAACAGAGGAGGAGGAGGAGGGAACAGTCCGGTCGTGGGAATGGGATTCTCTTTTCCCCTTCTTCTGGCTGGGCCTGGAATGCCATGGTCCTCTCTGACTGCAGAAACGCCAGGGACAATGAATTGAGAAAACAAAATCCATCAAACATGACACCTCCTACACACGGGGGTCTAACACAAGACATACAGAACACGAACAGAATGGCACAGGCGCCTGCCCTCAGTGTGTTCACGGTCTCGTGCAGATTCCTTACCATGGAATGTGCTCACAGGACCACAGGTGTGCATGTGTGTGTGTGTGTATGCACACATGCAGATACGTGCGCTATGGGAGGATCCGCAGCATAAGCCACATTTCCATAGTGATCTGTGACTTCTGCAACAGTTTCAAAATCGCTGCGCTGATGGCACAAACAGGGCATGGAGTCAAGGACTACCCGCTCCGGTTCAGAGGGCAATCAGAGAACTACAGGCAATGGGCTACAAGCTCTCAGAGGAGGAACAAGAGCTCCTGGCAGAGGGACGGGGTGGGGTGGGGGCAGCTACGGCAGACAGGCAGCACTGGGCATAAGCCCTGAGTGATGGGCAGGATTGTGACTGGCAGGGACGGAAGCAGGCATTCCAAGATGGAAAGGCATGTGCAAAGTCCCGGGGCCAGAAAGATCCAGGAGATCCAAGAGTGGCCCCGAGGCTCAGAGCCCATGCCCCTTGTGGACGCTCACCTCCAGGTGGGGCCCGCCCACTTGGTGCCGAGACTTCCGCGGAGGAAGGTGCTCCGAGACGCCACTTCCCTCTAGGCTGGTCAGACTGCTCTGGTGGGACTCCGCGGACTTGGTGCCCCGAGGGGGTGGTGGCCTGCTAGGGCCTGGAGGAGCCGCCTCGGCTTTGCCCAGGCCCTGCAGGTGCCCGTCTCTGGCCATGGATGCACGGAAGCCCGCTGGCTTCCCGGACACCATCTGCTCCACGGTCTCCCTGGCAGGGAAGGAGAGGCATGCCACCTCTGAGCCCGGGCATGACCACGTAGCCCTGTCCTGGGAGCCCAGCCGTCCAGGGCACAAGCTCCGTGGGCAGACACCCTGGGTGCCCACTCTGCTTCTGCCACCTTCTAGCTGTGTGACTTTGGGCAAGGCACCTCCCCTCTCTGAACCTTGCATTTCTCAACTGAAAAATGGGGATGCCAACAAAAGCCAGACAGTACACCACAGCGGAAATAGCGTGGGAACAAACGGCTGGAGCATCGCTTCCCAGGGTCCAGGCATCTACACACCACCTTCCCCATTTCAGCCATTTCTGTAAACTCCAATCTACTCAAAACGACTTCAGGTCACTATTATAAACAGGAGACCGATATTTCCTGTTACACATAGAAACTAACTTTGGAAATAAATACAAAAAATATGAAAACAGTATTACTATATTCTAGATAGACCCTGTTGCCTGCTAAGGCTCTGGGCCTGAGACCTCTTCACTAATTCTCTCTCTCTCTCTCTCTTTAAAGGAAGATCAAGAGAGGTGTTGAAGATACTGTAGCACTAATGGAGACTTTTTCCTTGACGTACTTGGAAGGTCTGAGACTGAGAAGGAGAATAATGTCATTTAATGCCACATCTGTCCTACCGAAGGTCACGACCCATGTCACCCAAAATCATTTCAAGAGCTATCCGTGGTAGGCGTTCCACGTTTTGGAGAGACACTGAGCTACAGGTCAGGAAAGCCATTTCTAAACTGTAAAGAGTTGCCTGGCACACTATGACCGTCACCACCCCTGTGGGCTCCGAGTTGCTATGGGACAAGCAGGGAGGCTCCCTGACATACTGGCGGGGGACCCCGTGACTTCTCTCAGCCTGTGCCGGGAGCTGCCTTGCGGGGAGCCTGCTGGCCTCTGCTCTCCCTGGAGCTGGAGCCGGCCCGTCAACTTCCTGGGAGCGGCCCTCCTCCTCCTCCTCCTCCTCCTCCATCCTCAGGGCTTCTGGGAGGCACTTCACAGTGAGGTACCTGCCGAAGAAAACACAGAGGAGCGTGACTTCTGCCCGGCAGGCCCAGCCAAGATCCAGCCCCTCGGCCAGCGGCCCTGGCCTCACTCCTGCTGGGCACTCACCGCTCCAGGAGGCCGTGGAAATCCTGTTCCGTATGCAGCCCCTCGTGCCCCAGTGGGGCCGGGAGGCCCGGCGGCGTGTTCTCCAGCTCACTGCTGGCCGTGCTCAGCTCCACGTTCTCGTGCAACGGGCAGGGGTCGATGCTGGGGGCATCAGGCTGGGGCCAGAAAGGTGGAGGGGCAGAGATTCAGCAGATACCTAAACACCACTTTTTCAGGACCTGCCTTATGCCAGGCTCATGCTGGTGCTGACGAGTAAGAGATAGGTTAGACCCACTAACCCCGCCACCCTTTTATGGGTGTGCAAAAGGCAAGGACTGGATCACATGACCTTCAAGACTGACTGCCAAGAATTGAGCACCGGCTGTGTACCTGGCACCACGCAGGCACCACTTCACAACAACCCCACCAGCACAGACGGTTATTAGAACCCATTTCACAGACGGGTAACTGAGGCTCAAATTTACCCAACGTCACACAGAAGAGAAGGGCAGGGCTGAGATTTGAACCCAGATTTCCTGCCAGAAGTACCTCTCCTGACCCCCCCCCACTCCAGTATGGACACCCAGTCCCCCAAAACCCCTTCACTGTGGGAGTGTGGGAGCCCTCAGGATGGTGTGCTTGGGTTTTCACCCATTAGTGTGTGAGGCAGTGCCTAGTAGAGTTTTCCTACCCTCTGGGACAGAGCACAGTGTGAGAGAATTTCCCACAAATCAGTGGGCCACCGAGACCTCAGTGTCGTGGATGCCCCACCAGTGCCCAGCCCTCCCCCAGCCCCTGGCCCCTCCCCTGCTCTAGTCAGTCCCCAGCAGACAAATCTTGGCAGCACAGGCAGCAAGGAGCACACAAAACAAGGCACAAAGACTGCACCTCTGGCACCTGTGTGACCTCTCTACACTCAGTTCGCTCAAGTGCAAAACACAGATAGTGATTGTGTCTCGTGGGGTTGTGATGGGGGCTGGCGGGAATTCGACAAAGCCCCTTCCATGCATGGCCCTTGTCCCGGGTCTCCCATCTTTGTGAATAGTCCCTAGATCCATCCAGTACCACAAGCTAGAAGCCTGGAGGGCAGCCTTGGCTCCCTCCCATCTCACCACCACTCCAAGTCCAGTTGAATGTGCCTTCTAAACCTCTCCCAAGTCCATGTGCATCTCTCCATCTGCCCCACCACCTCCCAGCCTCTGACTGGCCCACCTGCAAATCCTCTTACGTCCTCCCCTGCTGAAAAACCAAGCAGAGTTTAAGACCAAGCCCTTGATGTGACCCACAAGCCCCTACCTCATGGGGCCCCTACCTGCCTCTCGAGCCACATCTCTCAGACAACTGCTCCCTCACTTTCCATACTCCAACCACAGGGCATTTGCACAGGCTGTTTTCCCTGCTGGATGGCTTTTCCTCTTCTGCACCTACTAATTCCTACTCATCCTCAGATCTCCTTTAAACATTACTTCCTCAAGGAAAGTTTTTCTGACTCCGTAAATTCAGTTATGTTACCCTGTTACCTACTCTTATAGAATCTCATAATTCTCCTTCAGAGCACTGACCAAAATTATAGTTAAATAACGCTGTAACCGGTTCAACTAGACAGAAGACTCCAAGAGGGTAGAGGTCACCTATTTTCTTTGTTTGTTTCCCACTGAATTCCCACCACGCGTCATGGGTCCTGGCATATGGCACACACTTCATAACTATGTAGTGAAGAAGTCAATTAATGAAGAAAAGAATGAAGGAAGGAACAGTCAATATGGTTGAGCAAAGAGGTACCTCAGGGCAGAGGGTCTGGGTGGCCGGCGTGAGGGCTTTTCCAGAAGGAAAGGGCAGGCATGGTGGCTGGTGGGGGGAGGGCGTGGCTGGGGGGCTGTCCAGAGCCGAGTCTGACCCAGCTGGCTCAGGCTCCTGCTGGTTCTGGTCCACGTGGTCCTTCAGCTCTTCCAGGCGAATTCCCAGCTGGAATATCTCCGCCTCCAGCTCCCTGGAAGGGGGAGACATCGGCACGGGGAGCCTGGGACGGCAGCCTCATCAGGCGGGTCTGGGAGGCTGCGCTTCAGAGCAGGGCCACCAGAGAACGCTCATGGAGGGTCCACTGGACGTCATCACTTACATTATGTGGAGAACTTGAAACAAACAAGATGAAAGTGGACGCCACTGGGGATCAGGAGGCCTCGGCCTGAGTCCTCCTCTGCCACCAACAGGCTGTGGGACCTTGAGTGAATCCCTTCCCCTTCTGGCCTCAGTTTCCCCATTCTCTAAGGAGGGGTTTCAGTTCTTATCTCCAAGGTCACTTCTCATGGCAGTGAATCCAGAAGGACACAAATCTTAGCCTTCAAGTATTCCCCCATTTGGATAGGTTGCTAATTGGAATAGGATTTCTCTATGTTCCCTTAGTGTACAAATTATGAGGACGGAGGCTGCCCTTCCTGGTGACCAAGGGAACCTAGGGCCTGCCTCATCTGTCCTCCCAGGCCACCCTCCCCAGCACGCACCTGCCAGGATCAAATCTCCCAGGTGTCCCCTCGGAGCCAGCAGCCTGCTGGGCCAGATGCTGCTCCCTGCAGGCCTTCAGGTACCCCTCCTCCAGGGCTGCGTGGGCAGCCTTTAGCCGCTGGAAGCCCTGAAACCAGAGCACACTTGAGTGCCCAGCCCCCGTGGGCTCCAACCCTGCAGAGGCATGGACTAGACAGCTGGTGGGGGGCCACGGGACTCACCCCGGGTCTTCCCCGAGGTCCTGGAAGGCTGGGGTTGGGACCCTCTGGAGCCAGCCTGCCCTGGTCGAGCTCTCTGCCGTCAGGCTAGCCAGGAAGAGGCACAGCTACAGTCTCAGCCCCAGCTCCAGAGGGCACCCGTCCTTCCTGGGTAGACCCACAAGAACCCCCATGTTCCATGACGGTCATAATGTCAAATGTGCTATCACTATGTCCCCATAAGGACCAGGTACTGAAGAGACTACAGATCCTCATTCTTGATTTTCAAAACTGTGGATTTTGGAACATTATCCACTCTTTTCCCAAATCCTTATAGACTATCACGACAGATGATGTTATTATCATCACTGTCATACTATTGATAATGATAACATTTACTGAGCATGGGGGCTCTGTGCTAAAGCACTTTGCATTATTCATTTAATCTTCAACGTGATCCTAAAGAGAGAGGTAATTTATCCTCTTCATTTAAAGAGGAGGAAACTGAGGCACAGAGAGGTTATTTAAGTTGGTGAAGGTCACACAGTGAGTAAGTTGTAGAGCCAGGATTTGAACCCAGGTCCTCTGGCTCCAGAGCTCATGGTCCTAACGATTACACCAGGTCCCCAGAGTAAAGGTGATGACAGCCAACACGTGGCTAAAACTACAGCAGGCGGGATCATTACCCCTGGCTGAAAACCATCCCCATCCCACTCATTCTGTGCAGACAACAGACTGAGTCCGAGGAAAACTAGAGTCTAGTCCCCAGTCAAGCTTGATCCTCCAAGAGCTCTCGACCTCCCTGGATATGGGGGAATTAGGATAGAGGGGAAGAAAAAGAATGGTTTTCATTTTCAAGGTCCTTGATCATCTGCCCAGTGAGATACTATAATACATAGCACACATTTTGTAATCGGAAAATGTAGGTGACATATCTATAATAACATAGTAATCAGTAACATAGTAATAACATAGTAAAAATATCATAATATTTTTTTACAAACCAGGAGTGTTGCATTGGCCCCTCTGAGCCCTCCCTCAGCTCCTGTCCCCAACCTGCTCTGTACCTCCAGCATCACTGGGCTCCCTGACCCCTGGCTTCCCGTGGGGTCTGTGCAGCAGGGGGCATATATAAGAGGTCATGGGGTTGGGGAAGAGAGACCTGGGAGGGAACAGCTCTGGGCAGGTGTTAGTCCCTGGGCTTCCCTGGTCCCATCGGGCCCCCAATGCTGCCAACACCCCTGCTCACAGCCCCTCCACTGACTCCCACACTCTCAGCTCTCAGATCTCCATCTGCTCCTCCTGGGACCCTGGCTGATGCACTAGAAACCTAGATTTTATATATGACTGTAGTCATCTAGAAATACCAAAGTCCAAAAGGAAATAAGCCAATAACGGCTAGATTAGGGGTCTCCTCCCCCTTTTCCCTCTGGTTTTCAAATTTTTGGCAATTACTTTTATAATAAAAAAATTAAAAAAAAGAAAAGGCCTTCTTCTGGTTACTGGGAGGCAGGATAATCAGTGGGAAGCTGTGCAGGGCAGTGATTACGACCCTGGACTTGGGATTCAGACAGACCTGGGTCTGAGCTCTGCCGCCTACTAGCCATGTGGTCTCCAAATCCCTCTCTGGGCTTCAGTTCCATCCCAGTTAAATGGGGGCGATGACTGTAACTGCCCCCGGGTTCTGATGATGACAAAATGAAACAGAGTACATCAAGGGCTTACCACAGTGCCTGGCACACCACTACCGCATAACAAGTGGGCACTACTGTGCGACAATGATCATTACCGTGGAAAGCTAAGAGGGGCTGTTTGTTCCAGAAGGAGACACTGTGTCTGGGATTCTCTGGCTGTCTCGCAGCAAACGAGGCTTCAGAGACTCCGCTGTGGGAGACAGAGCCACTGTCTGCAGCTCCCAGGGCCTCTCCCAGAGTGGCAGTACCTTGAGCTGGTCCTGGGGCGTCAGCCGTCCTGCCCGCATCAGGCCCACGAAGGACTCCACCTGGACATTGGGAGGGGAGGAAACACGCCCCATTAATCCAGACCCCAGAGGATGACTCCTACAGACCCCCGCACTCAGCCACGTTCACGCTTGGCACAAGGAGCTGGGTCCCACCGCCAGATGTGGGTTTTCTGCCAGGCACAGAGAGGCAGGTGCCAGAAAGTGACTCCACCACTGACCTCGGCCATGGCAGCCTTGGGAGAAATCAAAGTGGAACCTCTAGGAATGTATCCACAGCAATTTGCACTCACTCATGTGCATGAAGACCTTTGAGGCAGGGATATTTATTGCAGCATGGTCGGGGGGAGATGGGAAACAACCTACACGCCTATTTGTGGAACAGTATGCAGCCATCAAGAAGAGGAAGGCATATGGGTATGTTCTTTATAAATGCCTCCAAGACCTACTTTTCAGCATCAAATCAGGGTACATGACAGTGTTTATAGCATATTACCATCTGTATAAAATATATGGAGAATAAAAAATGGAAATACATAAATACATTTGCTTGTGTATTATAAGCTGTCTCTAGAAGGATGCAGGAAACTGAAACATTGATTGCTTCTGGGGAGGAGAACTGGGTGGCAGGGGGACAAGGATGGGAGGGGGGTTTTCTACTCTATGTATCCTTTGAAATTTGAACAAAGTGAATTCATTGCCTGCCTAGAAATAAATATTCAAATTTGGAATATTAAAAAAGTCAAAGTACAGGGGCCAGCCCAGTGGCGTAGCAGTTAAGTTCGTGTGCTCCGCTTCGGCAGCCTGGGGTTCGCAGGTTTGGATCCCAGGCTCGGACCTATGCACTGCTTGTCAAGCCATGCTGTGGCGGCGTCCCACATAAAGTAGAGGAAGATGGGCACGGAATGTTAGCCCAGGGCCAGATCTTCCTCAGCAAAAAGAGTAGGATTGGCATCGGATGTCAACTCAGGGTTAATCTTCCTCACCATAAAAAAAAAAAAAGAAAAAATCAAGGTGCAGTATAGTACACATACTTATGTGACCAGTTCTATAAACGCGTGTGTGTGTGTGCACTGAACATTTTTGCATGGAGCAGAAGGGCCAGGGTGAGAGAAAAGATTTTCACTGACTATCCCCTTTGTACTGTGTGAGGGTCTCTACCGTGGCCATCTATTACCTTTATAAAAAATTTTTAGGGGCCAGCCTGGTGGTGCAAGCGGTTAAGTGCCCACGCTCCGCTGCGGCGGCCCGGGGTTCACCGGTTCAGATCCTGGGCACGCACCGACGCACTGCTTGGCAAGCCATGCTGTGGTGGCATCCCATATAAAGTGGAGGAAGATGGGCACAGATGTTAGCCCAGGGCCAATCTTCCTCAGCAAAAAAAAGAGGAGGATTGGCAGATGTTAGCACCGGGTTGATCTCTTCACAAAAAAAAAAAAAAAAATTTTTAATTAGGAAAAAAAAGACAAAAGATGATTTGGGGATCATTTCTAGGAAAACTGTAGATCAGTGCTAAAATATAATATAGAAATGTATATAATATAGATATTATATTATAATATATAATTTACATAACATAAAATAGAAATGTAATGTAAGCTACATATGTAATTTAAAATTTTCTAGTAGCCATATTAAAAATGCAGAAAGAACAGATGAATTAATTTTAATAATAATTTTATCAACCTAAAATATTATTTTGACATATAATGAATACAAAAAATTATTAATGCGATATTTTATATTCTTTTTGTCGCACTAAGTCTTTGAAATCCGGTATGGGTCCTAGACTTACCACACATCTCAATTTGGACTGGCCACACGTCAAGTACTCCCTAGCCACGTGTGACCAGGGGCTCCTGTAGTGGACAGTGTGGTTCTGGCTCATTAGGGGTCAGCTGGCGTCCCAGCTCCTGCTCATCATGACAGCCTTAACGATGCTTTACTTTACAACACACAGGACAAGGGAAAAAACGTCTCTCCAGTTACAGGACACAGAATGGTGTTGGTAAAAAGGAACAGAGTGCTTGTTCATGCCGCTACACGGATGAGCCTTGAAAACATTATGCTGAGTGAAAGAAGCCAGACACAAAAGGACAAATATTGTCTAAATCCATTTATATGAAATGTCCAGAACAGGCAAACCCACAGAGACAGAAAGTAGATGGCAGCTGCCAGGGCCTGGGGGAAGGGGAGTGGAGAGTGACTGCTTAACGGACAGGGGGTTTCTAACTGGGTGATGACAATGTTCTAAAATTGTCTCTGGTGATGGCTGCACGACTCTGAACATACTAAAACCCACTGAAGTATTAACTTTAAATGAATGAATTGTACGGTGTGTGAATTATATCTCAACAAAGCTGTTACCAAAAGAAAAAAAGAAAACAGTGGTGGTGTTTCTCTGAAGGAATTTGTTTGATGGACATGATGACGTATCTAACTATTGCATTTCCCTTTTTGCATTGACAACTGGGAAACTCAAAGCCAAACACGAATCTAGTAAAATGTTCGGAGTCCAAAAGAACGTTTTGTTTACTCATTTCACCCCAAGTTCATTTTATTCTTTTTCCACCTTTACTTCCCCTTCGCCCCAGTTTCCTCACTTTCGTTTTCAGAATGTGGTTACAATGCGTGTATTTTCTAAGCCTCTTTAAAGCACTTTTGGAAGAAGGCCAAGTGTATAGTTATAAACAGACCAGCAAACCGTCATTTGGACAGTTTGATGAAAATATACAGGCCCTTTGAGAGGTGACTGAGAATTGGTTTCGGTAATGAAATGAACTAAGAAAGTGGGATGATTTACCCTGAAGAGGGAAAGGTAGCCTGGAGGTTCTATTATCCTTCCAGAATCCTGAAAGCTGAGGGTCTCCCTGGGGGCGAACCAGGAGACACTTGTAAGCACAACTGGAGGGAGTTTAATAAGAAGCAATGCCACAAAGGAGAGTTCTACCCAGCAGGGGGTGACGAGGAGGAGCTGGGGCCCTGTGGCCCCTGACACCAGGGGAGGGGCTCCCCTTCTCGAGATGCCCAGGTCACCTCTGGCTGCGGAGTGACAGGTGGGCCTCGCAGAGCCCCCCATCCACACCAGCAGAGGCTCTGCTTTCTCCAGATGAGTCACGTCTCACTGGGCAGAGCTGGGGTTCCGCTCACCTTGGCCAGGAACCGGCCGGCCTGAGAAGCCAGCGCCTGGGTTGGCTCCACTGACGGCTGGTCCTGGGTGATGCCCAGGTCCTCTGGAGGCCACACTGGGGTGGGTGCGCTGGTGGGAGAGGAGGGGCTCAGGTCTCCTCGAGCCGATGGCCACCCTGGAATACACAACCACTGACCATTGGAGCCAAGAACAGCCCTTCCCGGGCTGAGAGACATGCTGAACCTCAAAACCAGCCCTTCCAGCATCAAGCTGCAGCTCGGTCATCACACCATCATGCCATCCTCACACGGGCCCGGGAAGTGGGCTGGGTAGCGTCGTCTCCATTTATGGGAGAAGACAAGGGCCCGATCTGTCCCGGATCACACGGCTGGAGCCAAGCCAGGCCTCCGGGTTCCCAGTCAATAATGCAGGCTCTCACTCAGAACGTCGCGGGTTCAAATCCCACCCCTCTCCCTTGTAGTGGTGTGACTTTCGGCATATCTTCACCTCTCTGAGCCTTGGTCTTAACCGTCAGTGGGGTAACACCCGTGCGTACCTCACCAGGCTGACGTGGGGATTAACCGAGATCATGATGGCAAGGCTTGGGGCTGGGCCTGGCCCTCATATGGCTCCACAGTGACGATGCTCTGTGCTATGCAACTTGCCCAAGATCACCCAGCTGCTAAGTGGCAGAGCTTCACCCAGGCGGCTCTGGCTCAAAGTGGGACACTGCCACACCTCCATCTGACCTCAAGTCAAAGGGCCCAGACAGGGGCTTCGCCTCCCTCCCCCACCTGCCCACCCCCGGCCTGAGGCCAGTGCCATCCCCAGGATGAACAAAGTGTCCCCAGAGCAGCATCACAGGCAGAAGGAGCCCTCCAGCCATGTCTCCTCTCCCAGACTCACCTGAGACTTCAGCAGCGTGCGGGGCCTCGGCGGGGCCAGGCCACCGCTCCACAGAGTGGGGCTGTGGGATGGTGAAGGACAAGACCTTGGTCCCCTGGGGCATCGTCCCCATATGGATGCTGTGGCTGGGCTGGGGTGGGTCTGAGTACAAGTTTACCTGGCGGGGAGGGGAGGTACAAGCAGAGCCAAGTCAGGGTCGGGGCAAACCCACCCAAAAGGCCTCACCTTCATTCACACCATCACGTAGGCACTCAACAAACTCGCCTCATAATAATAAACGCCACCTTTTAGTGGAGCCCTTGGGTGGGGGCCAGACACTGGGCAAAGGGTTTACATGTCCTTTCATTCTCTCTTGATGGCAGTCCTGAAAGGGAGGCAGGGCAGGGACCATCATCCCCATCTTACAGAAGAGAGAACTGACACTCAGAGAGGATTGTCACTTACTCAAAATCTCCAGATGATAAATCCTTGCGCTGGGGTTACAACCCTGCTTTGACCCCAAAGTCTATGGCGTTCCATATTAATAATTTTTATTAATAATATTTGTATTATAATTTATAAGATAATCATAATATAATTAACACAGTATTTAATATATAGCATGCATTATATGATAATATAATAGTTAATATTTATTACTAACAAGAACATTTTCAGTAATCATTATTATATTGATAATAACAGCAATGAAGGGCTGTTTAAATGGATGAGTAAACCAACAAGTGAATGACCTAATCTCTCAGTTGGAGCAGATCTCCATCATTTGAGGATGGATCTTATACGGTAAACAGCGCAGACGGCCAAGGAAGACCATTTGAAGCTCAAAATTAGAGGAGACCCAGGTACTGTGCAGTGGTTTAGAGCAGGGGCTGGCAAACTGCGGTCTGTTTTTGTGAAAAAAGTTTAGTGGACACAGCCATGCTCGTTTGTTTATGTATTGTCTGCGGCTGCTTTCACGCAGAGGTGAGTCGTTACCATAGAGACTGTGTGGCCCACAAAGCTGAAAATATTCACTATCTGGTCCTCTACAGAGAAAGTCTGCTGATCCCTGGCTTAGTGTGTGAGCTCTGCAGGGCCTATGTTCACGTCCAGGCTCTTGCACTGCCCACCTTTGAGTCCTGGAGCAGCTGACTTAACTAACCTCTCTGTGCACAAAGTGAGTGCTCAATAAACAGCAGCCACCACCCTCACATTCATCATCACCATCATTACCACCATCGCCATCACCATTACCATCATCATCATCACCATCATCACCATCACCATCATCCCCTTCCCCATCACCATCACCATTACCATCATCACCATGACCATCATCACCACCACCATCACCATCCCCATCATCACCATCACCATGACCATCATCACCACCACCATCATCACCACCGCCATTACCATTACCATTATCACCGTCACCATCACCATCATCTCTATCACCATCCCTATCCCCACCATCACCATCACCATTACCATCATCACCACCACCATCATCAACACCATCACCATCACCATCATCCCCTTCCCCATCATCATCATCATCACCATGACCATCATCACCACCATCACCATCCCCATCATCACCATCATCATCATCATCACCACCACCATCACCATCCCCATCATCACCATCACCATCATCATCACCATGACCATCATCACCACCACCATCATCACCACCGCCATTACCATTACCATTATCACCATCACCATCACCATCACCATCATCTCTATCACCATCCCTATCCCCATCATCACCATCACCATTACCATCATCACCACCACCATCATCAACACCATCACCATCACCATTGTCATTTACGCGGCCATCATAGAGGCAGGTCCCTGGAAAATCCAGTCCCCTGTGGTGCCTCGCCTCAGTGCCCCTGCTCCTCATAACGTCAGCTAGCTTATCTTACTGCCCCTGCTGCCCCAAGGTCAGGAGTGGGCTGTTGAGGGTGGGTCTGGTGGATGCAGCTCCCTGACCCCCAGGCAGGCAGCCTCTCCCTGCTTAAGCTGCTCTTCACGTCCTGGCTATGGCAGAAAAATCTACTCCAAAGAAAGAGACAATGGCCCACGTGGCTTGGCCCCCACTGCCTCCCCCTCTTTCAGGCCCAGCCTCTGATGAGAACAAAGCTGGATTTTAATAATCTCCTTGGCCATCTGCTCAGACTGGCCTGTGGGGGCTTGCCCACCAGCACCCCTCTCCTCCCGAGGTAACCCAGATCCCAGGGGGAGGCCCAGCCCTCCTGCATTTGTCCCCCTACCCCACCCTGCCACTCCCCCAGCCTCAGGCCCAGCCCACCAAGGCCCAACCTAGGGAACCACAGGAACCAGCAGCTCCCAGCACAGGCCCTGTTTCAAGGATCAGAGGAGCTTGAAGCAGAGGGGTCAAAGGCCTGTGCAGATGCCCAGGAAGCTGGGAGCTGGGGGTGGGTGCGGGCAACCACTGAGCTGTCTCCCAGGACACAGCCGGGACCCAGTCCAGGACTCCTGGGCGCCTGCAAGCCAGATGTGCCCCAGTGCTCCCTGAGCCTGGATTAGCTCCCTTGGGGGGTTAATCAGGACTCTGTGAGGGGTGGGCCAGGGACTGTGGGAAACACTGGGTTAAGTGACTATTCACTGCACAGATGGGTTTCTCACAGCCTTTAAAATGCTAATGGACTGTATGAATGGGGTGGGGAGGGGAGGGAGCTGGGAGAGCAGGAAGTGTTCCTCGCCTCCTCTGAACACACATACCTCCCCACGCCCACCCCCAGGGGCTCCAGGGGCTTCTGGACCAACCAGTGGCCATCAGAAAGCACACTTTAGGAAAGGCAGTGTTATGTCCTCCCCCGATTCTTTCTGGGGTAGTTTCTGGTCTACTCTGCCCCTCCAGATCCCCCTCCAGCTGAGACGGGGAACAGGGGCTGGGGGGAGGTGGAACGCAGCAGCCAATGCATGAGATCACCATAAACTCTCGTCAGACACTGGCTGTAGAGAACAGAGCCAGGCGCGACTCCTGACCAGCCCAGGCTCCCAGCCCTGCAGCCAGGCTCCCTGGTCCTGCCCCACTCCCAGGCTCTGGATCCAGCGGTGCTCCCAGGCCAGGCCCCGGGGACGCCCTGGTCAGCCTCCCCAGTGCGGACCTGGCGATTATCCAGTCTGTTCTGCTGGAGAGCGTGGTGTCAATAGTGAGCTTTGGAGCCAGATTGCTGGGCTCAAACCTCAGCTCCGGCACCTCCTTGTTGGGTGATCTTGGGCAAATTACTGAACCTCTCTATGCCTCAGTTTCCCCAAGGGTAAATTACTTAGGACAGTGGTCTAAATAGCATGTATTACTATTGTTGTTATCACTGTAACACCCTCATTCCGCCTATCCCTATGCCTCTGCCACAGACCCAGAGCCAGGGCTGGCCGGCTCACCAGGCATGGGGAAAAGAGCGCCCCCTCTGGACTCAGGCGGACGTGGGTTTAATCCCCTGCCAGCTGGGGGGTGTTAAGCAACCACTCCACCCAGCTGAGCCTCAGTTTCCTCTTGTGAAGAGGCTTCACCGAGGTGACCCTGGTGGGGCACTCAGCCTGGGGCCTGGCACCAGTTCACTGTTCAGCAAATGCCAGTCTTCTGCCCCTGGAGCCCACCCATTGCTGCTCACCCAGCGCCGGTCCCGGCCTGAGGGTCCGGGGACAACAGCCTTCGGGGGATCAAGTCTACAGAGCCCTGGACAGAGTGGGAAGCCGGCTGGAAGCCCAGCTCCCCCAGGCCCCGTGGGACCACGGTGAGTCCCCTCCCTACTTGGGCTCCGTGTCCTCCTCAGTGCGTTACAACAGTGAGCCCTGCCTATACTGTTCCCCCAAGGTGGCTGTGAGATTGCCGGGGGGGGGGGTGCTTGAGGGGAGGTCGGGGCGGGGAGTATAGTCCTGCTTCCAGAAGAATCCAGCTGACCTGTGCTCACCCTTCGACTGAAAAGAATCCACTGGCCAAGGAGTCTTTTCCCAGAAAGCGGAAGTGGGTGACCATCTTCCCTCCCGTGCCCCCCTCACACACATAGGGGTCTGGGTCACCAGCCAGGCCAGGGTGACCACACATGGGAGGCCCTGAGTCCCCACTGGGTCAGGGGAGTGCCCATTAGAGGAGGCAGCACACTCTGTCCACCTCTGCCGGTGCCCGCACTGTGCCTGGCACACATGGGCACCAATGAACACCTTCATATTAATATTATTCATAATAATCATATACCCTTAGGGAGTACTCGCCAGGTGCAGGTACATGCTTTCCATATACTGACTCATCCCGTTAAATGAGTAAAGGAGGAAGGAAGGAAAGGGGGGAGGGAGGAGATGCCCCGAGCCTCTGCCCCTGACCACGACCTTTGGCAGCCTCGGCCCCTCCGGTGGTCCCAGCTCCCCAGTCTGTTAGATGTAGGAGCTGAGGGTTTCCACCTGATGACCAGTTGCTTTCTCCTCGGACCTTCTAGGAGTCTGCAGCCATGAGAATGTGGTTTCCCCGGGGAGGAGACCTCACCAAACCCCCTCTGTCCTCCCTAAGTCTCCCTGTCCCTTCCGTCCCTGAACCTGGCTCAGCAGAGCAGAGAGCTGGAAGGAGCCTTGAGACATCAGGGGGAGCCAGTGGCCCCAGGAGGAAGGTGTGATTAACTCCCTTTTACAGATGTGCCGAGGAGGCCAGGATGGGAAGGGACCCGGCTGTCATGAGGCAAGTGTGGGGACACAGGACGACTCCTGCTCCCAGAACAGGGCCCCTTCCGTTTTCTCCTCTTCTCACCACGGCTGCCTCCGCCCACACTTCGAGGAAGCCTCTAGATGGCGGATGGAGAGCAGCACTGTGGTGGGGGAGGGGTCCTGGAGCATCACAGGGGCAGGCCTCTCTGTGGGGACCCTTGAGGGGGCTGAGCGAGAAGGAGGGTCTGCATCTCTGCACCTCAGCTCCCATCCGCCCTCCTACACTGCTGCCTGATGGGGCAAGAGAGGGGTAGGGGGAAGCAGGAAGCCACAAGGGGCTGTGATGGGCCCCACTTCCTGCCTCACCCCAGAAAAGGGGAAGGTCCCCAGTGTCGAATTCACAGCCTTCTCTCAAGTCAGGGTGGGGGCTGGGCAAGATGGGGGTAGATGGATTTCCCCTCCACACTCCTCCTGCCACACACTGGGCATCCAGGCCAGGGGTGAGACAGCAGGGAGGGAGAAAGACAAAGGGGAGACCCAGGAAGGATCAGGCCCAGGAAACAAGCACCAGGAGCTGAGCAGAAATTCTGGGCTACTCCCTTGAGGCTCAGAGAGCCCAAGTAACTTCCTCAAGGTCACACAGCGGGTCAGTAATGGAGCCAGGAGTCGAGCCCAGGTGGTCTTACCCCAGAGCTCTTCTAGAAGGAGAGAGCTTCTGGTGAGATTACTGGGCATCCTGGATTCTAGGATTCAAGGACGTCAAAGCTCATCAACGGAAAAGGAGACTGAGCCCAAAGAGGGCAAGGTCACTGCCTGAGGTCACAGAGAGACTTTGTGGTAGAATGAGGACTGGGTTCCAGTGTCCCCAGGGTCCCAGGAGGCAGGAGGCAGTGGCCCCTCTCAAAGACGATGGGACTGTCACCTCTGCGGGGCCTGGGCCCACACGTCCACCCCGCCCCAGCTTGTACCTTGGCCCCGAGGCGCAGCTGGTCGATGGTGTTCTCGGCCTCAGCGTACTTGGTGAGGAGCTTGCGGTAGTCTTCCTGTGGAGAGGAACGGCAACGCGGTCACATGCCAGGCTCCTCGCTGGGAGACCCCTTGCAGGGAACCCGCCCTCTAAAGGGGGCTTCTGGGTTCCGCAGAGTAAAAGAGCTCAGTGGTGGGTGCCGAGCAGACCCCTTCAGACTCACATGCAGTACAGACCCCCGTGGCCAAATTCTGGAGTGTCAGAGGCGGCAGGTCAGCTCCTCCACTGTCCCCAACAATAAGTCAGGGACGAGGGCCTCTGGCTGCTTTACCTTGATGCATGACCCCGGTCACAACTGCTTGCTTATTTGTCCCAATTCCCTGCCCGTCTGTCAGTTCGGAGGGCTAAGGCCCACATCTGCCTTCCTCACTGCCCTATTCCCAGGGCTTCAGTACTATGTGCTTCATAAGTGTTTTTTAATGCCTGATGGGATGAATCATCCAAGGATCCCTTGGTAGGAAAATAGAAGACTTGAAAATCAGAGTTGCATTGACTCAGAGTCACTACTTCCCTTACACAAAACTGAAGGGCTTCATCAAAACAAGTCATTGCAGGGGAATAGCGAACACAAATGTCATTGGTCACCTCTGAAAGATGCTAGGGAACTGACACGTTGTTCTGAAAACTGATAATGAGAAGGACAGAATCCAGCATTTCTCCTGTCTTTCCCGTGAGAACAAGACCTTGGTAACCAAATACTTGACGAGAGAAAGTTTTACTTTATAGAAGATTTCCAGCAAATAAATGCAGAAGGAATGATGCCATTTCAATACTGCCACTTTGTCACCCCAAATGAAGGACTGGACCAAGGCAACGACCAGCAGTGGCCACTAGCATCACAAATGAGGGACCAGCAGGCATCCCATCCTTCCCGAAGGGCCCACCTGTGACACGCTCTTGCCAAAACATCCCTACCCGCACGGCGCTCATGGTCTAGAGGGGAAATAGATTCTAGCCTGAACCGACAATATACAGGAGAAAGAAAGGACAAGGGAATGTATCAAGAGACATCAGAGGGTGCGTCGCAAGGTCCAGAATGTGGGAAACTCTATAGGACAGAACTGGTTTCCTCAACAAATAAATTACAACGAAGAAAGAGATTTGAAAAAAAATGCGCAGAAAAGGTCGGCGGGGGGTGGGAGACTTGAAAGACATACTGGCTGAATGCAATATACGAGCTGTGTTTGGACCCTGATTCAAACAAACTGAAACAAACAAACCATTTATGAGACACATGGGAGACCTGAACACTGACTGGATATTGGACAATATTAAGGAGTAGGCATTAACTTTTAAGTAAGATAATGATATTGTGGTTATGTTTAAGATAGAATCCTTATTTTTAGATGTATATGCTAAAATATTTTTGGGTAAAATGCTTTGATGCCTGAAATTGGCTTCAAAATACTCCAGTAGGGTGAGTAGGGGAAGGGGTGAGGCCATAGATGAAAAGGGTTGCAGGGGCTGGGTGACGGGTACAGGGAGTTCATTATACTATTTCCTCTCCTGCATAAGTTTTGAATTTTTTCATAGCAGAAGTTAAAAACAAACAAATACAGACTACTCTTGCAGCATAAGTGCAGTCATTGCTCTTTGTGAGCAAAGGGCCTGGGGTACAACTCTCCGTCCACCAGCAGGGGCTCCTGGGCCTCCAGACCAACAGGAGCCTTGGTGACATGCCTTCAGAAATGAGTCCGGCTTACCTGGAGTTGATGGACCAGCTTGGTGGCTTGTTCAGGTGTCTGAAATTCTTGCGGTACTCTGGTGATGGGGTGGGTAGGAGGTGCGTCCTTTCCCAGGCAGGCTTCTCCGCTGCTCAATAGCACCTCCCGCACGATCTCGGCAGGGGACTTGAAGACCAGCGGCCTGGCAGGGCCCTGAGGCTCCATGCTGTGGCTCCTGGACTTGGGGGGGCGGTAGCTCTCATCTTTGGGGAACCTCACCCGGGGTCCCACCTTGGAGAAATCAGGGAGCGGGTAGTTCAGCCGCCCCCGGCCGTACTTGGGGGTATCAGAAGAGGAGTGGCCAGCCAGAGTGGCTCTCTGCCTGGGTGGTGGCCTGTCCTGCCGGGCTGGCCTAGGCGGAGAATTCAGGGGGCTGATGGAGCCCGTGAATCGGGATGGCAGCGGCTTTGGTGCTGTCCGGGTTGGCTTCCAGGCTTGGTCCCCGGGCTGAGGGCAGGAGAGGCTGGCAGGTTCTCTCCTCCATCCACCTGCAGGACGCTGGAGGCTGTGGGCTGGGGGTGTGGAGGAGTCCTGGAACTCCGGGGGGGTTGCCAAAGCAACGCTTCCTCCAGTTCTGTTGTCCGCGTCCAGGAGGTGGTGGCTGGGTCTCTGTGGTAAGGTTTCTGCCAGGGCAGGGGGCTGGGGGACACTGGTCTCTCCTTCCCAGGTAGAATCAAGGCTGTCACTGGGGTGGTCAAGGCTCATGGTCCCACTGCTCCAGGACCTTGCAGAGCAGAGATCAACAGTTGGGTTGACCTCAGAATGTTCTGGAAGTTTGTCTCCACTGGCTTGTTGGCCAGAGGCCACACCCCACCCCAGAGCCACGGGGCTGGTGTTTCCATTGCCCCCGGAGCTGAGACCAGTCTCATACTCCAACCTTGGGGAGCTCTCTCCAGCTTCCTCGACCTCAGCGTCTCCCAGCGGCTCATCAGGCTCCTCTTCAGTCATGTCCGGTTGAGGATCCTGCTGGGGGAGCCAGTTGACAGGCAAGTTGGAACTTTCTGGGCTGTCCACATCCTCTGCTTCGAACTCTGGAAAGACAGGTCATTGCTTAGCATATACCAGGTCTGGACTCTCTGTGTGACGTTGCCTACGTCACCTCACTCCTCTGGGCTTTCAATTCCTCATCATGTGGTGATGGCGAGGATGCCAGTGAGCTCCCCATATGGCCAAGTACTCACCTAACACCTTCTCCAGTGGTCTCAAAGGTCCTCCAAACCCAAACCCCAAATCTGGTTGTCCCCCAGTGTGCCCCGTCTCAGTAAATGGCAACACCATCCCATCCAGTCACACAAGACACAAACCTGGGGGGCATCTTTGCCATCTCTCTCCTCTCAACCCCCGTAATCCAATCTGTCACCTGGTCGTGTCAGGATTACCTCCTATAGAGCTCTCAAATTCATCTATCGCTTGAAAGTTCACCACCAACACCTTTGCCCAAGCCAGTATCCTCTCTTGCCTGGACTACTGCAGTAGCCACCTAGTCATCTCCTCAACCCTCCTCCTCATCTCCCATCTGAAAACTCATCAATATCTTCCTGTTGTTCCCAAGATAGAGCTGTGTCTTTAATATGGTCCTAAGGTCCCTGCCTCTGGCCCCCATTAGCTCTCCTGATCCATCTCCCTCCATGGTCCCCCTCAGTCTCTCCCTGCTCTAGCCATGCCACGTTCTCTGCCACCACGGGGCCTTTGCACATGTTAATCCCTCTGCCAAGATCTTCTTTCCCTCCCTTTGCCTAGTTAACTCCTATTTGCCCCTCAGGCATTAGCTCAACCTTGACTTTATCAAGGAAGTCTTCTCAGATCTCCCCAAGTAGGTCAAATTCTCCATTTTATAGGCTTTCATAGGACTGAACACCTCTACTTTGAAATACTTATCACAGCTGACGTTTTCCATTTATTTACGTGATTTTTTCGTTAATATTTTCCTCCCCCACTACACTGTAAGCTCCATGAGGGCAAGGATACCATCTGGTTTTGTTTACTATTGTATTTGCAGAGCAGGTGCTCAATATTTGTTGACTGGATGGAGAGAAGGAAGGGAGGAAGGGAGACCAATAAGGTGCGCAAAGCTCCCAGAAAATGGATAGTGTTGTAATTATTACATAGTAGGTGCCCAAGAAATATTCCTCCATCCATCCACCCATTCTTTCACCTACCCATCTACACACTCACCTGTCCATCACCCACTCACCCATTGATCCAACCCTCCATTCTTTCAGTCATCCATCCGTCTACCTATCCACCCACCCACTCACCCATCTATCACCCACCACTCACCTATCCATCTACCTTCCACCCACCACTCACCAATCCATCACCCACCCACCCATCTATCCATCTACCTATCCATCCAGCCACTCACCCACCCATCACCCACCCACCCATCTATCCATCTACCTATCCATCCAGCCACTCACCTACCCATCATCCACCCACCCATGTATCCATCTACCTATCCATCTAGCCACTCACCTACCCATCACCCACCCACCCATCTATCCATCTACCTAACCATCCAGCCACTCACCTACCCATCACCCACCCACCCATGCATCCATCCATCTATGCATCATCCATGCAGTCAATGTTTATCGAGCACCTACTCTGTCCTAGACCGTGTGTCAGCCTCTGGGATAGATCCAAAGTTTCATGAGACATAGTCTGGATATCACCAAGCACAGACTCTGCTCTGGCCACATGCACCTTTGTCATAACCCTTGTGTCACCCTCTGCTCCCCCGAGCTCTTTCCCCTACCCTTGGCACCTCCACATCCTTCAGGTCCTTAAAATCTCCTTCAGCAAGCTGCTCTTGTTTACAGTGGCACATTTGAAGCCCAGAGAGGTTAAGTAACTTGCCAAAGATCACGCAGTGATTCAGAGTGGTCCTGGACCTAGAACCTCGGTCCCAGCCATGCAGGCCAGTTAGTCTCTGCCGCTAGGAGTCATGCAGTGGGGTGAAGAGAGCGGGCTTTGGAGCCAGGGAGCCCTGGTCCAATCATGGCTCCTGGGATCCCTCACTGGGGGCCATGAGCAAGTAGCCGACCTCTCTGCAGCCTTTACTCCGACTGGAGGCTGGTAGCTCCTATCTGGCAGAGGGTGGTGAGAATGAAAAGACACGTGGCCTGTGCTCTGCCCAGCCCTACACCTGGCACACAGGAAGGGCACAGGACACGGCAGCAGCTGTTATATCACAGCAGGGGGTTACCATGTGACCTCAGGAGGAGATACCCTGCCCTTTCATCCCAGCGCGTCCCAGCCACCATTCCCTGAGGGAGAGCTCGGAAACGTCTCCTGAGCGGGTAGCTGTGGGCAAAGCCCACTTTAAGCAGACCTGGCATGAGGAACCTTGGGGTAATGACACGATCCACTATCAGCCTATGGCTTCTCTGCCATCCACATGGGGCCTGCCTGATTCACAGAATCCTAAGACGGGGCGATTCATTCACGTTCCAACTGCAACAGGCACCACATACAAACTCTTATATTCTCAATGGTGTCATTACTCCCGTTTCACAGATGGGGAAACCAAGATTCAGAAAGGAGAAGGGCACACAGGAAGGGCACAGGACACGGCAGCAGCCAAGCCAAAGTAGGAATTTAATCTAAGTTGGTCTTGACACAAAGGGAACAGTTATTTCAGAAAACAAGGCATGCCAACATTCCCGTTGGCTAATTGGGAGTTTTAAAAATTTTAAAATGGGCATACACCCTAGACCAAGCAATTTACATTACCAAGCATCTTATCAAACCAAGTGTGCAAAGATGTACTAATAACATTCATCTCTGCATTATTTACAACAACAAAAACTAGAAATTAACTAAATGGCCAGGGGAAAGAGACTGGCCCTAACAAATGACAGAATACCCACACCAGGACTTCCCCTGCAGGCATTAGGAGTGACTTGTGGAGGAACATTTGATGAACTGGGAAAATGTCATGTCTATTAAGTTACGAAAAGCAGGTGATAAGATAGTTTGTAGAATACTGTTCCATATTTATATCACATTTGTAGAAATGCATATGGAAAAGAGTAATCTGGACAATAACTAATTTTTAATTTTTCCTCTTTTTTGCTTATATTTCCTGATTTTTCTGCAATGGACAGTATTAATTATGTAATTTAAATCTTTCAAATTTTTTAATCATAGACTTCATAGATTTTAATTTAAAAAATCTCTAAAACTCCCTCCCACTCCCCCCATCCCGCCAGAAGAGGGGATGTTTGGGGGACCCCGCTGTGGGGGTGGGGGCCAGTCTCACCCTCTCCCGCAGACTCTCCGGATGCGGAATCCTGGTGCCCCTCGGGCTGCGGCTCCGGGTCCCACCGCAGGGGCTGCAGGCGCTGCTGGGCGAGGCGGAAGTCCTCCAGGAGCTCGGGGCTGGTGGCATTGGGAAAGGGGCCCTCTTCTCCCCAGCCGCGTGTGCCACTCCCATCCGCATTCTTCTGCGCCTTGGCCCAGGCCCAGCGCCGCCGGCGGGACCCCTTCCCCAGGCCCGGCGCGGCCCAGTGGACCTGCGTCCCCGAGCTGGCGGTTGGGCCCGGCCTGCACTTCACCTGCGCCATTTCATCCTCGGGAGACAGAGCTGCCACCATGGGCACCAGAGTCACCGCCGGCTCCTCTCAGTGCCAGCCATCCTGCCTGTGGCCTGTCGGGGACACAAGGGGGGCAGCGTTACTCCTCCAGTCCCCTCCTTTCCAGCAGGATCTCTGGAACCAGACAGCCCTGGTTCAGCTCCTCCTCCAGCCCCTTGAAGCCGTGTGACCATGGGCAAGTCACTCCACCTGTGTTTCCTTCAGAAAACCTGCGATCATAATTCCTCTCTCGCTCCCGAGTTTTTCAAAATTACCTGAGTCACAGGGTGAGGGGCCCAGCAGCTGGCACACTGGCAGCTGTTGGATGTGTGCTAGCGACGGTTCCCCTGTGCCAGGCTCCTGCGTGGAGCACAGGCCCTGCTCACGTGAGAACAGAGCCCCGGAGGAGGCAACTGCAAATCAAGGTCAGAGTCGATGGGGGTACCCGGGGGTGGGGGTCCAGTGCAGGCCTAGGAAGTCAGGGAAGGTCCTGTAGAGAAGCCACTTCTTCTGGAACCTTCCCTGACACCTGTCAGGTAAGAATTCAGATCAGCAGTTGGGGAATAGTGAAAAGAGCATTCCAGCACCCGAAAGAATTGAAAACAGGGACTCAAACAAATACATGTACCCACATGGTTATAGCAGCACTCATCACAATAGCCAAAAGGTGAAAACAACCCAAACATCCATCAATGGATGAGTGGATAAACAATTTGTGCTACACACACACAATGGAATATTACTCGGCCATGAAAAGGAATGAAGTGCTGAAACACGCCCCCACAAGCATGAACCTCGAAAACATTATGCTAAGTGAAAGAAGCCAATCACAAAAGGTCACATATAGTATGATTCTGTTTATGTGAAACATCCAGAATAGGTAAATCCATAGAGAGAAAGCAGACTGGTGGTTACCAGGGACTGAGGGAGATGGGAATGGAGAATGACTGCTTAGCAGGCACAGGTTTCTTTTGGGGTGAAGAAAATGTTTTGGAACTGGATAGAGTTGGTGGTTGCACAACATTATAAATATACGAAATGCCACTGAACTGTTCATTTTAAAATGGTTAATTTGGGGCTGGCCAGTGGCATAGTGGTTAAGTTCGCGCACTCTGCTTCAGTGGCCCTGGATTCGCAGGTTCGAATCCCGGGCGTGGACCTACACACTGCTCATCAAGCCATGCTGTGGCAGCATCCCACATACAAAATAGAGGAAGACGGGCATAGATATTAGCTCAGGGCCAGTCTTCCTCAGCAAAAAAAAAAAAAAAAAAGTTAATTTTATGTTAAGTGAAGTTCACTTCAATTAAAAAAAAAGAGCATATTCCAGCAGAGGGACCAGCGAGCACAAAGGCCTGGAGGCGGGAGGGGGCGACCTGGAAGTGGTTTCGCGATGGCGGTGGTGTGGGGCAGGGCTGAGTGCTTTGACACAGAGAGTGCAGGCAAGGAGAGGTGTGGCCAGACCCGGGAGGGCCTCCCAGGTCCTGTTCAGGTGTTGGAAGGGCATCCCAGGCACAGATGAGCAAGCTGAGGTGCAGCTTAGAAGTTTCCATCTGCTTAGGAAAATGAACCAGAAGAGGGGGAGCCCAGCTGCAGAGGGACCTGTGGCAGCGGAAGGGCCCCTCCCGGCCGCCTTCTCTCCTCTCCTCCTTCCCACCCTCCTGCTGTGGCTGACACTCCCCAAGAGGCTCCTCTGTGCCAAGCACGAAGCCACACGAGGGTCAGGACAAGCTGGGGTGACAGGTCACCTTGGGGCCCAGGTCGGGGCTCTTCCCTCCATGCCGCAGAGACCACGGAGTGTCACCCCAGGCCTCCCTGCAGCCCCGTGAGTGCTTGCGTCTGGGTCAGAGCCTTGATTTGTACGGTTGAGAAAAGTCAGCAGACAACTATTTCTGGCTAGAAAGTTCCCCAGGGAACGGTGCAGCCGAGAAAGGCTGACTTCTCAAGGGCGGGGGCAGGACAGGGAAACAGTCTCCCCCCTTGACGGCAACCCCTGCTCCTCGGGCAGGGGCTCAGGGCCTCTGTCCTCTCCCTCCCACCCAATCTTCCTCTCTCCCCCTCCAGAATTTCCTCCAGGTCACCCTGTGAGCCCCCCATGACCGCCACTACACAGGCTGTGTCCACTCTATGCCGGCCTGGGCTGGAAGCTTTGCCTACACGATCTCCATCTGCCTCACCCCGAACAGGTAAGCAGGTCACAGGAAAGCTATTTTTCAGATGAGAACAGTGGAGCTCGGCGTGGAATAGCGACTTGGCCGAGATCACCCATTAATAACAGAGCAAGATTTGAAACTGTCAATTTTGGCCCAGCGCTCTCCAAAAAAAATTTTTTTAATCACACAACTCAGTAGTAAAAATATGTTTTACTTGCATACCCAATATATATTTCTTCTAACTTTATATACATGTATTCTCATGATAATACATTACATGTACTAGAAAAAATATATCCAAAAATGAGTTTTTTAAAAGATGTGATAGAAAATAAATATTTTAAAGAGAAATTCTAATCCTTGCTTCCTATACCATCCGGGGGGCCTGTACCCCTCTTGAGAATCCCTGCTGGTGGGTCTTAAGCTTGAGTGCTCTTAAGAATCTTCTAAGAATGCAGATTCCTAGGTTGACCCAAACTGGCTCTGGGAGAGGGCCCAGGAATCCGCATTTTAAGCCAGCGCCCCAGGCAAGGCCTGCGTTTGGATGTGGAGGAGGCCTTTCTGCTCCCGCTGCTATGGCAGGTGTGAGAGGTGCTAAGAGCCGCTGCTTTTCTCTTTCTGAAACCTCCACCGAGGAAGGGACAGGGGGAGGTGTGCGGTTTTTTGACTTTTTAAAGGGCTTTTTTCTAGCCGTGCCACAGAGCAGCCCGCCCAATCACAGCGGCTCTGGGTGCGCAAAGAGGAACATCCTGTCTCCTGGGATGACTCAGTCGTCGCAGAAATGGCACTGTGACCACGGAAAGCCACACGTCGGAGGCAGCTGTTGTCACTGGCTGGAGTTTTGCACATGCTGCCCAGGCCCCCAAACCTGTGAGCCTCTCCTGAGCAAGGCCTCTGTCTTCCAGGTTAGCCACGCCCTCAGTGCCACGGAGCCCGGTCAGTCAGTCAGTCAGTCAACAAACACACGAGTGCCAACCACATGGCAATCGCAGGCTGGGTTGACGACAGGCGCTCCCTGGGCTGCTGTGAAAGAGAAGCAGGCTGGGTGATGGCAGACCAGGTTCTGGGCCTGGTACGGCTGCTCCACAGTGAACTGCCGGGCTTAAGTTGTCCTCACTGTGAAATGGAGAAAACCACCTGTTCTTGGGACCGCAAGGGGGTATCGCCCTGTTCCGGTGGGCTGGGAGCTGGGAGATGGGCTAAACAAACTTTCAGATTCCCGGTTGGCTCTTGAAGGCAACAGCCTCACAACTGTTAACCCCCTTCCTCTTCCCTGAGATCCCATTTCAGAGGAACAGAGATGGATATTGAGCACCCAGTGGGTGCAACTTCACTTTAAAAAACTTATGACCTCCTACTGTGTGCCAAGCACTATACAAGACATGAGGAGGACAGAAATGAGGAAAAGTGTTCCAAAACATCAAATGGGGCATATAATACAACAGGGTTATTAAAGAAGGAAGTATTAAGCTGGGGCCGAGAGACAGAGAGCACTTTGCAGAGAAGAATGGGGTTGGGCATTCCAGGCAGAGGGAACAGCATAGGCAAAGGCAGAGGTCTGCAAGTAGAACAGCACTTGACAGCTCTGGGCAGGGGTCCCAGAAAGGCAGCCAAAGGCAGGGTTGTTCCAGCCAGCCTTCATTATGACAGTGGGTTGGGTGAAGGCTCCAGCCCCACGAGCTGGGGGCCGAGCCCAGGAGAGCCCCGTTAGCACTAGGTCCCCTCAAGGGCTGAGCCCTGGGGCTCAGGGTCCCTGCTAGCCCTGGAGAGACTAGCCCCACAAGGAAGCACCAACCACTCTCCTCTCCTTTTGTACGTCTCCCCACTCCACCCCCACCACCCCTGCCTCAGCTCTCTCAGGGTCTCCGAGACCCTTGTGGTCTCTCTCTCCAGTTCCCGAGTGGGTCAGCCACGCCCACGGGGCTTTCTGCCCCCTCAGCTGCTCCGAAACCCAGGACCCTCCCGCCGCCTCGCAGCCCAGCTCTGCCTCCCCGCGCCTTCTGAAGCCCCCTCCCATCCAGCCAGGGCTGTCCAGAGTGTCCCCCTGCTCCCACCCAGACCTGACATCTCCCAGATGCGGAAACTGAGCCATGGAGAGGTGGCCAGGGCTCACAGGACATCGAGCCAGGAAGCATGGCCTGGGGATTCAAACCCAGGGTACCGTGACTCTGAAACCAAGTCCATCAGACTTGGGGTGGGGCAAAGGAAGAGAAAGGAAGACACCTATCATATCACGGGGCCAGGCTCCTCCAAAAAGGCTGGGCTGTTGGGCTCAGAGCCCCAAACTCGGCCGCCCTCCCTGACCAGCTGCTGAGCACAGAGCTGCTGTTCTCAAGGGGTTCCCGCCAGCTGTGTAGAAACCACAAGCCCCCGTGCACGTGCCCCCTGCCCCCAGCTCTCTCCCGCAGCAGAGGCCGAGGAGAGCGAGGAAAGGTGCCCGGCTGCTGTGGACCCGAGTCCCGCCAGCCTGAAGAGCTGGGCTGGGTCTGCTGGACGATCCCTGGCCCCTCTCCTTGTCCTTATGTGGCAGGAGGGGCCACTCTTTAGTGGGGACGCCCCTGCTGCCTGCTGGCCTGCTCCTCATCTGTGCATCATGTCTGGGGCCCCTTAGCAGCCGTGGGACAAACTCTCCATGTGCAGATGAGGACGCCCAGGCACAGAGAGGGACCACCGCTTGTCCAAGTTCTCAGAGATCGGAATCAGAGCTCGGACTGGAAGCCAGCATCCTGAGGCTCAATGAAATCCCCCTAAAATCCACCCCGGCCCCGGCGGCCGGGCTCCCCTAAGCTGGGAGAGAAGTAACAGCTGCCGTAGCTGCAACTTCCTGGCTGGGCCAGTCCAGCCGGCCCGGACTGTCCCAAAGTCTGTGACTGGCCGGTCCAGAGGGAAGACGGCCTACCCGCCCTCCTCCGCTCCCTACCTCTCTCGGGCTCCGCCACCAGCCCGCCGGCCCAGGCTCAGGGGACCCGCGTGTGAGGTCTTTGTTCCAAACCTGGGGAGCCCCCTGCCTCCATGGCGCGCTGGCCCGCATCCAGGCTGCTCTGCCAGCCCGAGCTGCGGCTCACAGACAAGCATCGCTCCCCTCCTCTCCCCGCCCCTGCTGCGGCTGAGGCCGCCGCGCCTCGGCAGGAAGCGCCCAGCCTGATTTCCTACAAGTGTTTGTCAGAAGGAGGGGGTTTGTCTGCGTGCGGAGTGAGAGCGAACAGGAGGTGCTTAACCCCTGCAGGCCTTCGGCGGGTCCGCGCTGCTCAGGAAAGGACTTGCGGAAACATTGTGGGGATGGGACCATCTCAGCCAAAATACAGCTTGGGGAGACTGAAGCCCAGAGAGGGTCAGAGGCGTGGCCGAGGTCACACAGCATGCTGAGCCTAAAAGGAGGCCTCTAGCAGCTTCAACCCTCTGGGAGCCTTTTCCGCAGCCCTACCCTCTAGGGCATGACCTTGGTTGAGGCTCCCTACCTCTCTAGGCCTCGATGCCCACCTGTACAATGGGAGCTCACACTGGATGCTTTCTTGGCACCCTTCCACCTCTGACTCTCTGCCCTGACTGCCAATGTGCGATCCAACATCTCAGGGAGGCTGCAATGATGCCTGCCATCCCACCCACCGTCCTGTAGCTACAGTGGGATTTTCCAGGCAGCATGGAGGTGCGAAACTAGCTGATCAGGTAAATTTCCCCTACTGTTCTCAGGGCTCATCAGAGGGCAAGCTGCCTTTTCCCAAGCCCCCCTCATCCTGCTCATTCATTTGACAGGTACTTACTGAGCTCCTACTATGTGCTGGGTGCTGGGAATACGGCAGGGCACAAGACAGGCCAAGCCCTGGCTCCACTCTAGAGGAGACACAGACACGAAACAAACACGGAGAGGTGTGAACGAGATGGAGAAGAGTGGGATGGAGTGTGGTCCACACCCCAGGCTGCTTTTGATAATCCTGATGCCCAGGGCTCCCCAGACCTACAGAATCAGTCTCTGGGCATCAGGGATTTCAAGTGTCCCAGCTGACTGGGATGTGTGGCCCTGGGAGAGAATCCCTGGGTCAGAGAGTAACTGGTTGGGGAGGAGCAGATGCAGATGGCCGGGAAGGTCTCTGTGGGAAGGTGACACTCGAACAAGTGACTGGAAGGAAGAGAGGGGCAGGAGCGAGCCACAAGAAGGGCTGGCGGTGGAATATTCTGGAAGGGCAAGTGCAGAGGGCAAAGCCAGCTGGGCTTTCCCTGAGAACAGCAAGGCTGTGAACCCAGAGCTGAGAGGGAGAGGCAGGAGCGGGGAGGGGGGAGCAGGCACAGGCTCCAGTCCCTGTATGTGGCCCCCCACTCTGGCCCCGTCCAGAAGCCAGGGATTCTGATTCAGGAAACCAAAAGAAAAAGGAGACAAATTTGGCCTCTGTATTGTCCAAAAATCCTTCCAGGTGATTCGGATGAGCAGCCATGTCTGGAACCACCAGTGTGGGAGAGAAAAATGGATCTTAGAGTCAGTGCGGACCTGGGTTCAAATCCTGACCCCACCTCTTGCCACCTCTGTGACCTAAGAGGCTTTACATTTCTAAGTCCTGTGGTTTCTTCATCCGTAAAACGGGGATCAGAAGTGCAGCCACCCCACAGGGCTGCTGCCAAGATTCGATGAGGCAACGCCTGCAAAGTGCTGAGTAGGCACCTGGAACGTGAATGAATGAATGAACGACTGAACGGACTTTCTCAAGGTTGGCTTGTGAGGGTCTGGCAAAGCCAGGGTGAGAACCAGGTGCCCTCCTCCCGCTAATCACCCCACCCCTCCAACCCCTTCCCTGCCTATTCCCACATCTGGGTGGCGGGGCTCTACCCACGGCCCCCAGCCCAACGTGGAGCAGCGCCAAACCCTGATGAGGCCCCTTCCTGCAGCTCTGGTGACCACGTGGGCCATTGTGTGAGGGGCGGGCTGCCCCTCCCTCCCTGGTCATTAACCCAGGCAGCACTGCCATCAACACCAGGTGGCTGCCGCTGCCAGGCATGCTCCGTGGCCCCTGGATAATCCCGAACCCATCTGAGGGGCAGCTCCTAAGCCCAAGGAAAGCAGCCTCCCGTGTGGTGCCCTCTGTTCCATCTCCATGACACCCCCGAGCCTTACCCACCCTCCTCCCTGCCTTTGCCTCCTCCAGGCACACAACCTCCACCCATGGGCCAAATTCTACTTCACCAAAGCAACATGTCCAAATCAGAGCCCTCCGAACCCACCCCGCCCTAGATTAACCCTCATTCACCCAGGTGCACAAGCCAGATGTGACCGTCATCCTGGACACTTCCCTCTCCCCACGCCCCGTAACCAGACATCAACTCCTACTGATTTTATTTCCTAAATCTCACCAGCATCTGCCCCATCTCTGCGCCCCTATGTGGCCTCCTGCAACAGCCCCTCCTGGAAAGCTCTCGGCTCCCTGGGATCCATTCCTCACACTGCACCAAAGGGGTCTTTCCAAAACAGAAGCGTCCAGACACGGCCCCTCTGTGCTTAAAACACTCCGAGAGCTGCCCATTGCTCTGAGAAGCGGAAACTCCGTACCCCAGGGGCTGCTCCGGCCTCTTCTCCCTCCACTGTCCTCCGTGCACCCTCCCACAGCGAGGTCCTGCGACACCGGCCCCTTGCTGTTCCTGGGACAAATGCACCGTGCTCCCCGTCCTCACCCAACCCCACTTCTTTGCTCTGTTAATGTCCAGGCAACCTGCGGATCTCAGCCCCGTCCGCCCTCCTTGGGGACGTGCCACTTGGAATTAGATGGTAGGTGTGTCTCCCCGAAGACGGGGAGCTCTGTGAAGTGCTCATCGTTGTATATCCCCAGTGCCCGCACAGGCCCTGACTCACAGTAAAAGCACAGTAAATGCATGCTGGATGACCTACTGCATCTAGCCAGTCGCCTAAACTCGGCTGTGGCCCTCGCAACTACCCAGTGAGGCTGGTGTGACATCCCCATTTTATAGGCGGGTAAACAGAGGCCCTGAGAGCCCATGCAACTTGCCCACACTCAGAGCCGGGGAGTGCCGGTAGAGATTCAAACCCACTAAGACCGACTCTTATCAACCACGCTTGGTGTGCACACCACTGCAGCCCGCGGAAGATCATTAACAACCCGGGCAGGGTGAAAGCCGAGGCTCTAACTTCATAACGAGGCTCTGGTCCTGCACAGTGCCTGCCGGCTTTCTCAACTGTTCTCTCATCCTTCAAGCACCTGACGCTTAAGAACAGCCTTGGGAAGGGGGCAGGACAGGAATGGGAGCCACTGTGTGTGTGGGGGGGAAACTGAGGCCCAGAGATGGGGAAGAGATTGTTCCCAGTCACCCAACAAAAACACACACACACCTTGGCCCCCACTAGCCGGCTTGAGTATCTTCTCCAGAAGCTCGCCCACGTACAGCCGCATCTGCACAGCCCTGCCGTCCTGACCACAGGAGCCCAGCAAGCCTTTGGCCATTCGTCCCCTCCAGCCCCTGGGGCATGATGCTGTAACACCACAGTGGCCATTTCTCACCCACTCTCCCAGTGCCCCCCACTCCGCTGCCCCCCTCCCTCCACTGTCACTCCTGAGCCCCATCTAAGTGCCAGCATGTTAATCAGACTGGCGGGTGAGTCTGTCTGTCTTCAAGCCCGGAACACGGCCCAGGACCGGATGGGCACCGGTGGCTGATGTGACGAGCCCTGGACAGTCACTCCTCCACACGATGTCCTGAGGCCCAGGGGCACAGTGGGGCCACCAGGCTTCTCAGCCATCCTGGGGGAAACCAGGCGCTGGTAACTTCAGGATCCTGGGGGCTGAAGGCTGTGTTATTCTGTCCTCAGCCCCTCTTTGAGCTCCCGACATCTCCCTCCCCTGGGAAAGAAATGAAACCCCCCCCCAACATCACCCACTCCTACCTGCCCAGGTTGCTGCATTTACCCCACGGGGTTACATTCCACAGGAGTATGGGCGTCAGAGGAGGCAGATGAGGAGCTCAGGAGTGGGCTGAGAAGAACCAATGGGAGCCTGGCTTGGGAAGTGGACACCCAAGTTCCAGCCTGAGTGACGCTGGACAAGTGTCTCCCCCTTTCTTAGCTTTGGAAGCTTGGGGGCTTGAGATTATTTCTAGGGGTATCAGAAATGACCTTCCAGCATGAAATCTCCCAGGTTAATTTGATTCCACTTGCCCACACAGGCAGAAACACGTGCTGATGGGAGCCTGCAAGGCTCAGGGGGTTAGGGTACACGGGTTTTGTGGGTTCTTCAGGTTATCTCTTGAAAGCTGTGTGGCCTTGGGCAAGTTGCTTCACATCTCTGAACCCCAGATTCCTTGTCTGTAAAATGGGGATAATACTGACTTTACAGGATCCTTGGGATGATAAATGAGACCACGTGCCTGAAGTCCTGGCCCAGTGCCCAGCTGGCACAGAGCTCACCCGCAAATGACTTTGGCCATGTCCGTGAAACGCAAATACGGCCTACGGCCTGCTCCCTGCAGAACTGAGTTTAATTCTCCTGGCTCTGGAGCTTCCTCAACATCAACCACAGTTCTCGCTTTGGGTCCTGTACCCAAAAAGGGACAGCCAGCCCTCCCAAGTGGACAGGAATGATGCTATCTCCCTGGTACCCTCTTCCCTGTGGCCCCCAAACTGGTTCCAGAGGTCACTGACCCAGCTAGAAACTGTGCCCCCACCCTGAATAGCCAAGGAGGGGAGGAAACGGGCATTCCTCAGTCAAGTGGAACATGGGTGATGGGGAAGGTGTGGCCATATCGAGGAAACACCCATGCAGACACACACACACACACACACACACTGAAATTCACGCCCCTTGAGAAGCGTCAAACAAAGAAACGTGCACCTGCAGGACAGCATTGCTAACAGTAAAACTTTGCTGAGCACCTATTATGTCAAAGACTTTCCATGGCTTAGGATGCCATTATTTAATCCTCATGCCAATCCAAGGAGGTAAGAATGATGATGTCCACTTCACAGGAGAGGAAGCTGGGTTTGAGCCAAGCTGTCTGAATCCAGACAGTACAATCTTAATCCCTTTGTGACTGAACTCACAGTAGGTGAAAAGGTTGGCAACAACCTCGCTGTCCAATAACAGGGGATCATTGACATAAATTGTATT